TCAACAAGCTACTGTGAATTGACAATCAACAGCCTTAGAAGAAGAATGGTGGTGCTGGGGAATGACTGATTTTTTCATCAATAATTGAATTGTTTGTTCTTGCATTTTCCTGTTGATTTAAGGAAGTAACAATTGGATAAAGTTGAAGGACACATGACTCTGGTTGTGCAAACCGTAATACTGTGGCTCTTGAATTGATGCATGCTCGATACGGATCTCAACCAGTCTAGCATCAATTATTACAGTACAGGTATGTCTAGCTGTCAAGTCTCAAGTAAGATGAGATATGAGTCCCGGATTAACCTTTGTGGCACTAATGAGACACCGGGACCGGTGGGGTCAGTTAAGTTGAACATGAATACAGGTACTCAACGACGACACTGGATGGAGCTAGCACTATATCATGGAATGACGGAGGTAGAAAGTGTGGATCATTAGACTTCGTCCAGTGGCTCAATGGTTACGTGGTGGCCATGGGACCAGAAGATTCTGAGTTCACTTCCTGGTGGTGTCGTGGGTGCGAACAGGTGAAGAGTCCCATACTAAAAAGAAACAGTTGTCCAGTGTTCCCAGCTTTCAGTGTTCCTCCAACTTATGTCAGTCCATGATGGATATCAACTTGATGTTAATAAAATCCCCACAATCCTTCAAATCAAAGCTACTATGAGAAACTTATGAAAATTAAAAATATGATTTCATTCTTTTGCGAAGAGTAGCTAACATGAGAAAAAAGAAGCTAACTTTTAAAACGTCAAACACTTCAGTTTAGTATGCAGCAGCAAACAGTATGTGTTAACCGACTTATCTACCTTTAGAACTTGTTCAAAATGCCAAGGACATGAAAATTTATGTTTTAAGCTGAATTTCTAGTAACAAAATTTACTCAACAATCTGTTTCACCATAGAAGAAACCTATTTGAACACTGAGTTTTGGGACGTCAATCTATTCATCTTAATACTACCACATGTCTTCTGTCCATATCTTCCTCCTGTAAACTTTACCTTTTCACACCTTTTGATTGAAATTATTTTATTTGATTCCATCATTCAACCTAGTAACTTTGGTTGTGAGAATTTATATCTTATAACGTGTGTATGGTGCGATCTTTTCACAACCACAATAACTTAATTAAAACGGAAGTTTTGTCAAGTTGAAAGAAAAAGAAAAATTAATTCATTCCCATTTGTCCTGTAACACCTGAGGTTTATTGATAGATCGGCACTGTTTTACATTTTTACAAGTATCAGGAATGTGATGTAGGGAGCTATTTCAGGGTAAAATAGTGCAGCTCATAAGTATCAACTATTTTTAAATCATTTTCATCTTTCTAAAGTGTGTGCTGATAATGTTGACTAGAATGACAATAGAGGCTTCAAGGTTAAACCATTCAACTCAAAGGACACAATACCGCCGAAATCATCTTCGTCTACCATAAACTATAAAGAAGAATTTCTGTCGTCTTGGGAACTGGCATTACTGTATAGTAATCGAGTTTGTCACAGCACATATCAACATACCAAGTGGGGAGGCATTAAAATGAAAGTTGAAGAAACCAGGCAAAAGAAATAAAAAGTAATAAAAAGAGAGGAGGGAGGAATGAGAAAATACTGACTTCACTATGACAGTTGGGATGAAGATAACCTTTACAGAAATCTATGCCTCTGAGATCGATTCAGAGCCATGTTACCTAGATTCTCCAACCACTGTTTTACGTGGACTGCAAAAAGGAAGTCTCTACTTCCCTATGTGGCTCAAACCAACAGTCAATGACTTCACGGACTGATGCCGCGTTTCAGCCTAGCCGCCTCTAGACCTTTTTTCAGCAAACTTCAGCTAACATTGTGCAGTGGTGCTGATGGTGACTAAGAGTGCAAAACATATATCCCAGCAACCTAAGTTGATGAAGCTTCAAAAACTCACCAAGTGACTTGCCTTTCTACTTAAACGTCTACGGCTGACTTCTTTCCTGAGATGGTGATACTGTGACATAAGGCCTACGCTACAAAGATAGCCATGGTGGGATACCTGAAGCCTTCTCATGTTCCCCCCAAAAAGGTTGTAATCATTAAAATCAATCAGCGAGAACATGTTTATAGATTGAAAATTAAGGCAGAAATGGTTAACTTCCTACGTGTATGAAGTGAAGCCGAAACAATTATCAGGGAGTTGTGTGCACAAAAGACACTATAATAACATTTCATATCTGTTCAGTATCTTATATGTTGTCTACAATGGCGATAAAATGTCATTTCTGACCCGAACTGCAATTACACAACGAGAATGCTGTTCAATATCGACAGAAAAACTAACTGAATGAAGGAATATTTATGCATAGCTTAAGGTGCAAACATTATAATTTCAAGTCAGTCAGAAATCTTCTCTAAGTGACCTCATAGAATTCTTAGTAAAAACGGTTGTTATGTGACCATAAGACCCAAGCGATTACAGTAGTGTAATTCAAACTTCATCATGTGCATATCCTGTGACCTATTGAAGTCAGTCATTGCTGGTCTAATTCACATGGCTGACTATGACACCTTCAGCATCGATTATCAAGCTGTGAGAAAATAAGTGTGTCAAGTAATTGGACATCAGTTAACACTGTGTGCTTGAAAATTTGGCTACAAAGGATTTTCCACTGAATATATTTCACCAGATTGCCCCCTTCTAACATGTTTTGGTCTTCTAAATGCATTACACACTCTCATGCATTAGGAAAAAGGGTACCAACTCGTCGTTTCGTAAGTTAACGATATAATAAAGAAAAAAGCTATAATAGATGACAACAAACTTTTAAACATACAAAAATACATTATATTACTAGTTCTGAAATACTTATCTTGAATTGCTGATTTTCTTACTTGATTAACAAACCACCACAACTATCACCAAAATTGCACATGCTGCTCTAATCATTCTACTTTTCAGACCAGACAGTTGCCTACTAATGGTTTATTGCTTCATTTTATTGCCTATGAGTTTGTTATTATTAACGTAACCTAAATGTTTAAACTATTTACTTTGAAAAAGTATTTTACGAAGATCCAATATTTTGAAATACTACGCACTGAGATTTCTATACTATATCAAACTTACATTCAGAAATAAAATGATTATTATTATTGAAAGTTTACGGGTTGGCATAGTGACCAAAGCTTTCATGCGCTCCTTATAGTATTGGTTTATCTAAAATGGTAATGTAAGTAATGTGGTTAAATCATTCAAATCAGAGAACACAAACAGTTTAACAGCAGCTCATTCAGGCGCATCATTTATCTTCTAATTGCTCATCAATGCATATAAATTCACATAAATTGTCAGGTAGCATTGTTTGGTGTATTAGGTTTTATACATATTATCACTGACGACTAATGTAATTTGAACATTTTCATAGGAAGTCAATTACCAGCCTGACTAGTTCATCCGTGCTCACAATTAATAAATAATGACGTGATCTAAGCTATTATTATTATTTGTCCTTGGATTCCTAATGGAACATAGGGCTTCAGTAGCACGTCTTCAGTGAACTCTGTTCTCTGAAATATTTTGAACCTGGCTCCGCGACAGCTCACAAGGTTTCATTTCCTCCTCACACGATCTCCTCCATGTCACACTCTCCTCAGACGCCCAACTCGTCGCTTCCCATCTGGGTTCCACTTGAGTGACTGGCCTGACGCGTGATGTCCCCAGTCGATCTTCTCAGTGTATGCCCAATCCATCTCCACTTCCTTCCACTGCATAGTTGTTGGGTGATAGGTTCTTGGTTGGTTCGTTACCAGGCCAGAGTGAGTTTCTTGTTGCTTATTCTTATTATTCTGGCAATCCATCTGATCTTCAGAAGCAAGCTAGCGTAGGCAGTTGTTGATGAGTGTCTGTAGTTTGTTGGAAGTCCCTTTCGTAACGCGCCAAGTCTCTGAACCATACAGGAGCATTGACTTGACGTTGGTGTTGAAAACCCGTATGTTGTTCCACATGCTGAGTGCAGAAGATCTCCACACTGGTTACAGGTTAATGAACACCTGTCTTGCTTTTCTGATTCTGACTTTGACATCCTCGTCAGTGTCGCCTGTAGTTGAAACAGTGTTTCCTAGATAGGTGAAGGAGGCTAGTTCCTTTAAGTTCCTCCCGCGGATGATGATTGGAGCTTGTTGTTGCTGTTGTTGTTGGTTGGTTATCCTCATCACCTCTGTCTTCTCTATATTCACTTGAAGTCCCGTCTTCGTTGCCTCTTCTGACAACTTGTTAGCTATCGCCTGTAGATCTTCAAGTGATCTAAGCTATGAGTAGATGGTATTTTTCGTAAAATCTGTTTTCATATCATATTGGCTATCGTATTCAGTCATTCAACAGTTAGAAAAAAACCTATCTTGTTTAACTTTATCAATAAGAGGTAATACTTTGTTTTTAAAACTTTTTTCTCTTAGAATATGTATACATATACATATATATGTCCTGGTTTCGAAAATTATCAAGCTGTTTAAATCTTTTATTTTTTGCATTGTTTACATGTTTATTTATGTTTATTTTATCAGTTAACTGTACATCAAATAAAACGAAGGAAATATTGGATAAAAGAAAGTGAATATAAATAAACGAAACATTTGCATCCAGATATACACAACTACATACATACACATACACATTCAAAGAATAATAAACATTTATACCAATATTCTTCATCAAGTGATAAGATAGATGAATACACGAACGGATGGAAAAAAAATGGTCAACGATATCGGTTTATCAGCATATAAAAGTTATTTTTGCATTTGATTTCGTCTGTATGTGTAGCTTTTCTTCAGAAATTTATAGAAGTTAGTGAAGAGATAAAAACCTCAGTGTTTACCTACATGATAAATGTAATCAAAAGGGATAGGCAGAAATTCCTGTGATATATATATATATATATATATATATATATATGCATATGTATATATACATTTGAACAGAGGTTAGTCTGAAACTACCTCTATGTTTCGATAGTGTACTAGCCAGTTTACTAAAACAATTCTGGTTTCGTATTGCTCATTATATTAGTGTCTTTATCATTATGTCGTGAAATTGTTGGCAATTTGTTTGTTGTATAAATTGAGGATGGTTCCTTACCATAATTGAAACTGTCGTACATTGTACTCAATACTAAATTATTGTTGTTAGTAGGAATATTGTTGACGGGGAATCGATGTAGGTTTTGCTCAAAATGATGATGATGATGATATTGATGATGATGATCTTGAAGCGGATAGAGATGAGAATGAGGTGGGTGATAAAATGGTTGGTATTCATGTGGATGATATGAATGTTTCTGTAAATGTGGAAGATATTGATGCTGGTGAATTATTGTTTCACCATAGTCATTGGTTTTCATTGGAGGCATAGCTGTTGTTATTGTTGTTGTTGTTGTGTTGTATTGAAGATGCAAGTTAGAGTTATCCATTTTCCTGTTATTGCAGTAGTTTGACGAATAGTTTATTGGATGGATTAAGGTTTGCTCACCACTTAGATCTACTGAGTTTACAATGAATGAATTTCTATTCAATCCACTCATCTTATTACAAGCATTTTTTTGCGAGAATGACGTGGAGTCATTTGGAATGGTTGATATAAGCACTGGTGATGGTGTTGATATTATTGGTGAGGTGACCATAGATTTATTAACCGGAATTTCTGAAGGACGCTTGTAGGGTGGATTGACAAGTGTTGCTATTTTTGAATAACTTAAAGGCTTCCATTGTGAAGACAAAGGTGATAAGTTACTGACATTACCACAACGATTTAAATCTTCAAAAGAATCATTCTGAGAATAATCTTTGAGTAATTTTATCCCATTTAAACAAGGATTTTCAACTGGTACTACTGTATCCAAGCCATTTTCAATAAATAATTATTTACAGAATTCTTTGATTGTGTACTCACCGAATTTGCATGCAATTCAGTTGATAGACATAATTCTTCGTGATTTGATGTGTAAGGACTGTTGGTAACACTCAAACATTTTGGTTTTAGCACTACCATTTTACCCTGATATGTTTGTAACCTTGAAGTAGTACGTGGTGGTATAGGCGGTGGTGCATTACTATAGAAAACTTTTTCACATTCTGCAGTTTCATTAATACATGGTATTCGACGGTGTAGTTTTTCAGAATTAACCTTGGGCTTATTAATAATTTTATTAACTTTTTTCAAAGACGGATCTTTCACTGTTGGAGTGTTGGGAGATGATGAAGGAATAGAACTTTTTCTCGTTTTTTCATCTAATATAGGTTTACCATCAAACACTGGTGAGATAGGCGGGAGTATGTCACATTCTTTATTATTGTGTTTTGAGTTGTTACAATTACTGCTCAACGAAATCGGTGACGTTGGAGATGAATTTGAATAACATGAACGAGTAGTATTGAAGCTACAATGTTTTAAACTATTCACTGTTGTGGTAATTGGTGATCTTGAAGAAGTGTGGGAAATATTTCTCAGTCGACGTATTTCAGGGGAAGTTAGTGTACTTGATGCTGTAGATTTATTACCATTTACTGACTTTATTGTCAAAGATGAAGACATATAACTGCCAACTTTAGAAGTTGCTTGATCACTCATAGGATTTTTAAGTGACAAATTCTTCTTAGTATCACTTGAGCAAGAAGACTTTGTGAATGACGCAGATATATGTGTTGGATTATGATGATGAATATCGACTTGAGGCATTCTTATTTTGGTAGTATGTTGTGAAGAGGAAGATGATGAGGAGGAAGAGGATGCAAGTTTATTGGTTGCAGATTGTATTGACTTACTAGGTGATTTAAAAAAGCGTTTACTTTGAATTTTTTCCATTAGTGACTGTCTTTCTGTCACACTACGGCTGGTTGTAATGTTATTTGGGGATTTTTCAATATTTTCTGACACGTTATTAATAGAGGTAGGCATCACTGAGTGTAAAGTCTCTTTCGTACATTGTGATTTGCTGAGATGATTATTTTCACTTATTGAAGTTGTTTTGGAGTGTTTTATTCCAGTGACTGTTTGACTATTTGTTGTAGTAGCAACAGTAGTAACAGTAGTGGCAGTATTGATCGTCGTAAGAGTGCACGTTATTTCTTTCATCGTATTTCTGAATGACTTTATTTCATTCAAAGTTTTGTTTGCAACACAATCTGAGGATTTCTATGAAAGGTTTACAAAACATATTTACATAAGTAATATGCAGTGTTTAATTACTGTTAAGGACAAAGTGATTTTCATCATAAAGTGACATGAACTGGAGAACCACTGCAAAACTAAGGGGAGTGTATAGCTATTTCTTCGTAGTTTGGGACTTCTTAGGAGTGTGAACGCATGACGCTATGATATCCTAAAACAATCACTTCTCACAGTGGTTATGTCACCACCTCACTAATGAGTTAATAGGAATGCGACAGACAATTGGGAAACGTATGCAGAGTATCAGAGATACACAGAAGGTTAAAATCAACGTTATCATTCTTCAAGTTACATTCTTCTTAGCCACGTTGGGAAGATAAAAAACCTTTTGAAGTAAGAGAAGACATTATCATTAAAATTATTTTCATGAGTTACGTATATTTTCCGATACCACAGCATCAGTTTATATCTGGAAACATAAACTGTACGAAACATGATTTTTCAGTCATTAAAAATGAATTCAACAATTTTTGACTTTATTCCACTGCTTTCAAACTAAAATATCATTTTTATGCCCTACAGTTCAATTTAAACTACCGTTTAAACGAATAAGGGAAGAAAAGTTAAAGTATAAAAACGAAGACATTAACAACCTTTATCGTGACCTATTTATGTCGATTCTTTGCGAAAATTGTATTTACGAGCATCAATAATAATCCACATACAGATGATTCTGTTTTCACAAAAGAAACAAGCTATATACCAATTAAAAAACATGTTACATCACTGGATTATTGGTAAATGATGTTTCTCTAGTAATTTATTCGGCTACCATGTAGGTCGTTGTTAAAATGGATTAACTGTGTTCAAGAAAAAAGCGTAAAGGCAATTCCACATGGTTTTTATCATAAAGATAAAATTATCTGTCGACCGAGTTAACTAAAGAAGCCTTAGGTTTGTAACGTCTTGTTATTAACTGGTTGTCCAACCTGTTTTTCAAAAAAAACATGAATTCAATTTCTTCAATTGGAAAAGCAACTATCAAACATATGTTTCGGTTTTGCAGACTTACAAACCGCCATGAATAAGCCGATTGTTTGCCTGTTAATTTAATGCCTGTTTTCTATTTTTCATGTTTTCGGAAAAATGAATCAAAGGGATTGGGATTTATAGACATATTTAATAGGTTTTTTCTTCTTTTTGTCCATGAACCAAGGGGATTATGAACAAAGATCGGAAAAACAGAATGTTCTACAGATAGACTTAAAACTCTTCCAAGAAAAGGTATATTGCATTTCCCAAGCATTTATAAGTTTAAAAGGCGTCATGAGAAGACGAATATTAACTGGAACGGGATATCCACCCTAATGAAAAGCTGTGAGGTGTGGGGTCAACCACTCGGAAAGGAAGCGAAAGCCAGGTGAAGAACTTGGATAGTAGTTCCACTATATCGTGAGTTGACAGAAGTAGAAAATATGGACTACTGCTTTCTGATCCAGTGACTCAGTAGTAACGTGCTCGATGTGAAACCTGAAGGCCTTCAGTTTAATCCCTTGTGAAATTGTGGGTGCGGACCCTTGAGCCGTCCTATGCTATGGCAAAAGAGCTGTCTAGTGCTCAGAGATTTTCAGTGATCCCGCAGGTTGCTTCAGTCCGTGATGAACACTACCTTAAAAATTAAGAAATCCCAATTAACCTCAAGAAACGTGATTTATTAGTGCTATACATTTCACAGGATCTGATCATATGTGAACCTGATGAGTAATTCATATAAAAACAGACGAAGGTTATTAACTTCAGCCAATGGAGTTATAAGTAAGAGAGATGATGAGGGCAGAAAGTAAACAAGTGCAAGAGGAAAACAATCAGATTGTGAACGCTTATAGTATGAAGGGATGAACTCAGTACTTCCAGAGTAGGTTTATTGTGAGTTCAAGTTGTTTTTTAATATATAAAGGGTGTCCAATTCTATGGATAGAAAGCTCATCGATAAATTTAAGTTTTCATTGATTGAAGGCAACTGGCAGGGAGCATGAAACGTATCTTTCTTGAATAGCTCAATGGTAATGCTACTGACTTTAAAACCGAATGAAGGGAGTTTGAATTCCCAGGCGGGACAACAATCCCTTCCAGGTTGCAGATGAGCCTTACTGAAGTGTGCTGACAAGCAGGGAACCCCGGTCTGTTATTTATCTTTGTACACATCTATTTAGTAAAGTAAAGGCTGTCTTCATACCAATCATACGACAAGTTCCTAATATGTATGTTGCTGTCAGTGAGAAAGGATGTTTGTCATCTGCATTCATCATTTGTTTCTGGAACCTCATACGTACATGTCCAGCAAGTCTTAACTGAAAGTAACGGTTGCTCCCCCTTTCTTACTTATGATTCCATTTACCTAATTGACCTTTCTCAATTCTTATACAAATTATTTGACAAGTCCATGTATGATCGGTTTGTTCGGAATTTATAGCAATTACACGTCACATTTTTCAGATAATCTCCATCTTCTCATTACACTGTTGAAATTTATCAGGTAAACTAACTGTTTTATGTTGCTGAAAATAAGACTTCCCCAAAGCATTTATGACTAGCATTTCCCTGTATATCAAATTAAGGTTTACTATTTCCCAGTGTATCCTTGGCAAAAAAATATCTTTGACGTAAACTAAGTTTTGGTTTTTATATTATTATTAGTCCCTTGGGTTCCTAGTGGAACATAGAGCTTCAGCAGCACGTCTTCAGTGAACTCTGTTCTCTGAAATATTTTGAACCTGGCTCCGCGACAGCTCACAAGGTTTCATTTCCTCCTCACACGATCTCCTCCATGTCACACTCTCCTCAGACGCCCAACTCGTCGCTTCCCATCTGGGTTCCACTTGAGTGACTGGCCTGACGCGTGATGTCCCCAGTCGATCTTCTCAGTGTATGCCCAATCCATCTCCACTTCCTTCCACTGCATAGTTGTTGGGTGATAGGTTCTTGGTTGGTTCGTTACCAGGCCAGAGTGAGTTTCTTGTTGCTTATTCTTATTATTCTGGCAATCCATCTGATCTTCAGTAACGAGCTAGCGTAGGCAGTTGTTGATGAGTGTTTGTAGTTTGTTGGAAGTCCCTTTCGTAACGCGCCAAGTCTCTGAACCATACAGGAGCATTGACTTGACGTTGGTGTTGAAAACCCGTATGTTGTTCCACATGCTGAGTGCAGAAGATCTCCACACTGGTTACAGGTTAATGAACACCTGTCTTGCTTTTCTGATTCTGACTTTGACATCCTCGTCAGTGTCGCCTGTAGTTGAAACAGGCGGCTAGAGTTGACAAAATTCAAAATGGTTGTTCGGTGCAGGTTTTAATAATGAAATGACAACCACATGAAAACTTGTGACAGAATTCTAGCTGCATTTAATGATAAGTCATATACTTTAACATAAGGCAAGTGATAACAGCACCATTACATCATGAGTGGATAGAATTTATAAAAAATGGATGACAGAATTCCAGGTGGGCTGTTTAATAGCAGAGTTTTCGCTTTCAGATCTGTTGGGCCAGGTTGTAGTCTCATACAAAAATTGTAGCAACTAAAAATTAACGTCAGAGCAGATTTCTGGCCTCGTGTCTATCTAACTATCTTATTGAGAATATGGGATATGCACTGCTCAAGACTCTCACAAAACTGCTGGTATATGTGAATGAAGTATTCTACTGAATATCATTATTGTTGTAAGGTAAATGCAATACTCAAGTATGATTGAAGAGCATGAGAGTGATTGTAATGCAAGCTTGACTTTTACTTTAAAAATTTGGTTCTACGGTTTAATATGAAACTTAAAACAAAATATTCTAGCGTTGACACCTCTATGTTATGCCGGTGAAATACTCGAGACATCCGTTTAAGACATTTGTAGAAGACATATCACGTTGCACAACAATTTTGTTGCCAGTACTTTTCTCCGGTCCAGTTTATTTCGCATTTATTTCACATTCGGGAAGCGAATCATTTCAATTTTGAGGTTTGTGGGGATTTCGTTATTGATTTCAACTGTGGACAACCAAGTTGAACATAAGGACAGTAACTCAACTATGGGACTGCATGAAGGTTGTGCTATATCGTGAACTGACAAAGGTAGAAAATATGGATCACTAGATTCCAACGTAATCGCTGTAATGTGCTGGTGATGGGACATGGACATCCTGGGTCCAGTCCCTGATGGGGTTATGGGTGCATACTGATGAGAAACGGCGAAACGGCTATCCAGTGCTCCGAGGTCTCCAATGTTTCTCCACTTGATGTCAATCCATGATGAACATTAACCAAAGAGGATTATTTACCGGATTGAAAGTTATTAATAATTTGCTAACTATATTCACATCAACTTAAATCTGGGACTTGTAACCATACCTTTGATAGTTTTGATTGCTTTTCGCTGTTTTATTATCATCAAATAGCCTTTGTGATTTAAGGATTTTACCGGCATGTCTTAGTCCACCGTATTAATATACCGTCAGCATGAGAATGAACCTATAACCCATATATTTCGCATAGGTAAACACGCTGGCCATCTCAGCCTGGTTTTTTAGTATACGTAGGGGTAGTAAGCGTTTCTTAAAAACCCTAAAATATTACAGTGTTCAAGTTCTAATTTACTACTAATACTCCACTTTAAAGTCTATAATAATATAGTTTAGAAACAATGTGGTCAGTTTTGGGGTATCCAGAGTAGTTGGCAGTAGAACAAGCATTTATAGAGTCAAAGGTCATATTTGATTCCTGGTATATCTGGTAGATAAGTTACAAACATTAGAAATTGAGGTTCAGAACTTTTGTTGGTAACCTGTGATCAATTCATATTTCTCCAGCGTGCTTTGAAATCATGTCTGTAAAGATTTTCCTGTAAAACTACACCATTGAATCATTTAATCCTAATTAATGTAATATTTTAAAAGTAAGAATTATTACATCTTAAATTCCTTCAAGCTGATTTCTGTAAACAATTCTTCAAACAACTTATTCATGCAATGTTTATTCAAGCTAAAATGTCCCACTTACTTGATGACCTGAAAACTTTGATATTCTTTTGGAAGCGAGCTTTTGGAATCGTCGTCGATAGATTACTACAGGCGGTGGGACAGCTGCTCTAGTATTACACTGTAGATCTGTTGTGGAATTGGTGTTGGTCGTTGGATCTGGAATATCTTTTTGACATTTTGGAGTGTTACTTGGTTCAATCGAATTTGTATTCTTGAATGAATTAATGAAAAAAGTTAATTTTAGAATTATTTCATTTACTTCAGAAGTAATAGTCTATAAAAAAGTCTTGTTGAACCTCATGCAAAAGCTTCGAATACAAACTCATATTTTGATGTGAAATGTTGAAAGTCAATCAGGAGGAAGCCGTAAACTTAGATTTTGTACTCACACTCATCAGTAAGGAGAATGGGAAACCATGAGATAATTGGGACTCTTTCGAGGATTCAAACCCATACCACCCAGTACTGAAGTTAGTCAGAAACATAAGTTATTCATGTGATGGTTAAACCCCTGTAAGACTGGATTCTGAACTCAGATTGGCGGGTTTACAAACTCCTACAACACAATATGATGGTAGGTCTTCGGTCATCATTGATATGAAGGAGGCTAAGTGGTGTGCATTTCATGTTCATTTCTCATTTCTTGAAGTTTGAGTTTAGGAATCGATTGTAATTATATAAGGTGTTATACAGTGTTGATCAACTGAATCACCGTGAACACAGTTATCATTTCTTTACCATCTAGACCTGTGTCAGAAATTTGCACAATGTTGTAGTAATACAAATGAACTAGCCAAGTGAATAAGCTATAATTACTACATATATCTAACAACACTGCACATAACCATCTAGGTAATTGCTTGATATTCATTTATATGGTCAGTTTTGTAAATGGAGAAGCGTGAGGCATCTCATCAAAGAAGATTTTAGTTAGTTTCGTTTTACATTGCACATTTAATGAGGATGTAGTCTGTTCTGATTAACATTGGTCTACTAGATGATGAAATGCTTCTCGGTAACATTTTTCCCCAGTTTCAGTTGAAAACGTCAGGCGAAAACTATCAGGGTCAAATAGCACCCCTTACTTTTGATATTAGGAGTTCGTTACTATTTAATCGGGTTTAACAAAAGCCTACTTACCTGGACTACTCAATGGAGAAAACGGCTGAGACAACAGACATTTGAAAGATGACTTCTGGATTTTTTTCAAAATATAACTTCAGTTATAATTAAAATATATTTATAAAATTCTAATGAAGTAGGAAAATAAATTTCTGGTGTTTCGCGACTTCGTAGAAATAGCTTCTTCAGAGAATAAGTACAGGTTTGATTCTCTGAAGAAGTAATTTCCATGAAGTTGTGAAACACTAGAAATTTATTTTCCTACTTCATTGGGATTTTACAGTTGTATTTCATTTATAATTCATTTACTCAATGCTCAATATATTCAAGTCTGTCAGGTCAAATTTTGATCCTAAAGTTTCCAAATAAATTCAGGTGATAGTTTATGCATCATTGTGTACCTAGCAGCTCAAAGCAAACATAAACGATAAGTGTGCAAACAAGTAATCTTTAAGGATTTGCAGTTATTTGTAGTATTTAAGGGGGTCAAGTGAGCTTCCTTTTACTAATGATCTCCTGCAAACTGAATGTAAAATTCCCATTATGTGTTTTGTTGTCAACGGTTTTTCAATTGGATACACACTAAGAGGGTTCAGATCCGGTCAAACAGGTAGTGTGATAGGAAATAGTCTGTTGTCTGTTGGTCACTTCTATTGAAGTCTATCAAAATAGTGGGTGGACAGAGCGAGTCTGGAAGCTACGTAATAGTTATGCCTCTTAGCTGAGTTGGCACAGCAAGAAATTTTCAACTTATTTAACTTTTGTTAGTTTCCAACATTTATATCTACTACTACTACTGATAAGTTTGGTTTCACCAAGAAACCAGCCATAAAATATGAGGAATGTGAGCTACATAGAAGAGCTGCATTCATTCTACAGCTTCACAGTTTTTCTGATTAAAATAACTCCGTACACATCATTAGAAGAAAGATACACAGAAGTAATATGAGAGTAAAAACTGGGACATCGTGATAGAGTAAAACTCCACATCATTTATTTGATACATCATACAGTAATCGAGTATGATTAACTGGGAAATTGTTGAGATTTTGGGTTTAAATACTATCCTGATTCTACCATTCTCAGGAATCCTGTATCAATTTTCCAATAACTCTTATTTATATGCCAACACTACAGGAAATGTGAACTCTTTTTCATATGTTTGGCGATTACCACCAATATTATTATTTCTCTTCCCTTTACAAAATCTGATGAACTTTTACATAGACTCCGGAGGGTAGCTGTTAAGTAGTGATGTCTCTTTGATATATATTTGAATTTTCTACTTAAATTTCATAAATTAGTAGTCCAACGTGTAACTCGACTACGCAGTCGTTTCACCTAGGCATCAATGATAATTTAGGGTAAGACATTGTGAACTCCAAGTATCTGTATAAGTATAGTGGTTTTGTGTGAACACTGTTACCTAAACGGTCATTTTTTCGCTTGCTTTTACCACTCGACAAAGATGGTTCTCCCTGTCGATTTCATAATTCGTAAGTGGGTAAGATTACATGTATAGTCGCGTTTATGTGTAAGAGAAGAGCAGATATGTTGTGATTTGAACATTATAAATATGTCATCTACACATAGTTGGCTTACTTATAAGGTGCATCACAATGTTCTCAATAACGCTTGTTTACGACTTTTCATGAAAATATCTACCGTTATTGAGGATATAAGAGGCCACATTGCTACTCTTTCCACTTATTTCTAAATTTTGTCTTTTAATTTTAAGATTTCTTTGGTCATGACCTTAGTTCTATAACTACTTCAAATGCCACTATGATTTCTATATTTTCATACAAGCTCGTCATATCAGAATTCACTACCTATTTGTCCTCTTCCAACCACTTCTTATACTGCATCACTGTGTGATACATCAAAAAGCCATCCCATACAGAATAAACGGAAATAGATTTTCAACTAGAAATTTACTACTTAATGACCTGGTGAATTCAGTGTCAATTTAGCATACCAGCTTACATAAATGTTCAGATTTCACATTTATTTGTTTCTCAGCATCGTTTACTAATACCAGTAGAAGCGATTCTTGCCGTGTTTCACACTATTTTGGGTGCTGATGTTTACATTGAAGCCTGAAATAAGCTCATTACTTTCAGCAGAATTGGTTATTAAATAAACTACTAAGTTGTAATTGCTAATTCGTCTTCACATTTTTATGAAAACGAAGTAGAATAAGAAAAACCATAAAGTCAAAAGGAAGTTCACTTAGAGTCTTAGTAATGACTGTAGGGATTAATAGTTAAGAAACTGAAAGGTATGCCAGATAACAGAATATAGCTACCTATCATTACTGAACAAATTGCCAGGGTTGAGACAAAACTGAGTGAGACTGTAAGCTATTTATGAATGTTCAAAACACTTGGGTTGACATCAACAGAAAGTATTTAGTAGTCTTTCAGCTAAGTTAAAGGTTCTTATTACCTAGCTTAAATATGGGTAAAGCACGGACAATGGTCCCCCGATTATTTCAGTCGAAGAGCTGACTGTGTAAAACAAAGGAGGGTAGACACGGCTGATAGCTTGTCTGCCAATATTGATAAGAGTGAAGGTCCTTAATTCGAACGAAATTAGCTGCTGGTTAAGCCACAACTCAATATCAGAAGTACAGTTACAGACTGATGTTAAATCACTTAGGTTTATAAGAAAACATAGAAACTGAATTTTAATAGCGAAGAAGAATTAGCTTACACAGTATCGTCTTTGTACGCTTACCTTGAAGTAAAACCAATAAAATTGAACCAACCAACTGACAAATACAGTAACATTTATGTTAGGTTACGAGCAACACTTAATTAGTAAGTGCTTATGCTAACACTCAACTGTTCAGGCCAAAGTACGTAAACTTAAGTTGGGAACTGTGACCCATTTTTGAAGGTTGACTCCCTAATCCAATGAGCCACAAATATATGATTGAAAGCGATCAGAAATAGGAAGATGGGTGCATATGACGTTCACGAAACCGTGCACATCTCTTGAAGTAAATGTGCAATTCATTGGTGTTCGGTTGTGAAAATGTTCATCTCTAGTGTGTTATATTGCTGAAGATTCCTTTTTTTAAACTGCAAGATTATGGAAATTTCCAATTAGGCAATGATAAACGCTGGTGTCTGCTGGTAACTTCAAGTTTAACCATATAAGTTGTGCTGTAATGGAGTCATACTGTCAAAATTGGTTGCATTTTCCTTAAAATACTCAGCTGTACGTCCTTTCATTAAACAACATAGTTCTCTCGTGGAAAACCATTGACAAGATTTCTCCTCCTGAGGACTTTGATTAACATTTTGAAAATGTTTAGTCCGTATCGTGTAACTGTAAAAGGAAAAATGGTGTTCTGGACTAATCTACTTTGACTTCTATTCATTAGCCTCTCATCTAATTCGTCGGGAAATCTACATCATAAAAGACTGTTTTCTCATAAAATCTTGGCATGTGCTGAAAGTCAGTTTTCCGCTTATTCGGTGTCACTGAGTAGCCAGCCAGAAGGTCGCTATAATAGTTCAGAACTATAAAAGCCAGGCAAACTTTGATACGATAATAAGCAGTTATCAGTGTTTAGACCTTTATACGGTTAATAGTGATTTATCACCAAATGTCAAGTATAACAAACAGACTAACAGACTGAAACGAATGCCTATTTTATTACTATAAGCCAGTGGAAGAAAGGAGTTTTCATGGAACACTCTGGGGAGCTTTAACCGTTTGTTGTACGCTTGAAGATCAATAGATAATTATGTTTTGAGGGATATGAACAGGCACCAATCTAAACTAAAACATTTTTTCAAAAGTATGGTGGAAACATTCTCCTTAATATTTTTTAAGAAGAAACGTTGATTGGTCAGAAAAAGGCGCAAAAATGAAATATCTCCCTTTTAATAGGAAAATAAATTAACCTTCATATGAACTAGTATAAAACAATATCTTTTTCCCCCACAAAGTACACGAAACCAGTCATTAATTTGCTGTTTGTTTTAGATCTAGAGAGGGGTTTGTTTAAAAAAACTCATTGATAAAAATTACTGCTTTTTTGTTTTTCTTCATTTTTGCCAAATAGATTTCAAAGTTATAATTTTGCATTTCCGTGGAGTTCACAGTACATAAACAATATTAATCTTAGTCAACTCATAACCTCCACATTTTGTCGAATTGTTTACAGGAAATTCTTCTAAGATATACACAAATACTTTGGAAAAATAGGATTCAACTAGTCTATTAGATTAAAGGCCCTTTCTTTTTCTAAACTATTAGGTTCTAGTTGGCAAACACTGATGGTTTTGTTCTTCTCTTTTCAAACTCGACAAAGTTAAATAAAGGTTTTAAAAGTTGATTTTTATAGAATAGCGAGGAGCAAATTTAGATATAGAGCTAAAAGTTGTATCAAAGCAATGCTTATAGTTATTCCCCTTGTAGATTTCAGAGTCGTCAATAATGCCAACAAGAAGAATTGACTTTGAAAGTTATGCTATAAATTTATTGAACTACTCTTTTGCCTCAAGAAATGTTTTTTTTTGTCTTAAGTCAGTAACATCATTAATGCGACATGGAGATATGTTTTAGGTCTGCTTAAAGCTTCATGTGATGATGGTGAAACGTGAACAGTAGCATCAAGACAACTTGTAATACTGATCAAAGTAAAATTTACTAACAAACTCAGTTCATCTCAAAGAATTGTTTAACGCTGTTGGAAAATATACTGCACCACTTTGCAAGAAGATGGACCAAGAATCCTCATTGGAGTTTGTTTGTCTATTGTCAGGGATTAGAAGGACTTGACAGCAGTTGGACTTTATTACCACACCTCGAAGATATCTCTCAAGCAATTTCGTTAATTAATTGGTCATGTTAAGTGGCATCATTTGTCAACTTGTCAATAAACTACTTACGCTTTATATAACTACAGAACAATCTGAGATAATATAAAAGATTTGTAGTTTAAGATGAAAATGCCTATGGTTTAGGAGTTCTCTAGACTGTGAGAATCTGGTGAGAAAATTCCATTATCAAACTCGGTGACATCCTTAGCACTAACTACTCTACGATTATATTATTGATTACACAGCCCAATTTTGTTGTGCAATATTCACAACAAAATATTTGATTCCATATTACAACAAAAGATATCCAATTTCGGCATATCTAGGCAAAATTTCGAAAGCTACAGTGATGACTTTACCTATCACAAATGCAATCTAACCTCTTATCTTATCTGTTTCTGGGTTACTTTTATTTTGGCCACCTAACGTATCACACAGCGAATATATTAAAAGGAGCTTTATCTTGACCAAGTTTATGCTTTAGTTGTGTTAATGTTGGGAACGTTCATCAACCTACTGATACAAGGCAGTTAGATGGTATAACTCAAATACATTTCAAAGTGCAAGACACAAAAGTATTGGCTGAGTGGGTTTACCAAGTTGATGATGACGACATATATCACAGTATGATTAGGATTCACCTACTTTATTTTTCAGCAGAATTAAAGAGTAGTAAACAAAGTAATACCTTAACTTACCCGCTTTGTGTTGTCACATATGCTATCTCGTTGCTTAGTGGTTGGGTCTGAATTGAAATTGTCACACTCATTTTGGTCATTCATGCTGGAAAATTTCAATCGACAATTCATTTGAACAAGTTGACTATCAGGTGTAATATCTTCTTTGTATTCATCGTCATTTACTTCCAGCACAGCTGTTTTGAAGTCTGAGTCCCAGTTACTGTTACAATCATTAGCATTACTAATAGGGTTACTGGCGTTAATATGAGAATTATGTTTAGCTATGGTGGTAGTTAAACTTAACGACGTTGTTTTTAGATTAGATTTTGTCAAAAAGCTTTTAACACACAGTGAATCAACTGAACTATGGAAATCTTCATCACCACTGTCAATTGCTGAATCTTCGGTTGATGTGATTATAAACTTGCCAGTCAGTAGCTCAGTATCACTAAACACACCAAACCTTAAGTCTTTACGTGCATTACGCAATTTTCTGAAAGCATCATGATAAGTAGTTTGCGTTTCAAGATCATAACTTTTAGGCATCAGCAGACTGTTTGTCGAGTTTGGATTGGAACCAATAACCGCAGATCGTAGGGGATAGTGATATCGAAGTTTTTGATCTCTGTCAGCGAATCAACGACAAAAGGAAAAAAAAGATTACATTTAAGTGATTGAAAGAATTTTCGTAGAGCTTAAATGCATACTGGTCAGCACTTATAGTTCAAGGAATTTAGACCGAATTTTTAGCCTGACATCACACCACAGATCACTTAAAATATTTTTTCTCTCCTGACTGTACTTTTAAGCATGGTGAGCATGATATAGTACAGTGATACAGTTTTAATTTACTGCATGATCTTTTGAGGATTATTTATTGTTGATAATCATACAAATACTGTAAGCTGTATCAGATAAACTAATCTTATACAAGATGATAATCTACCACAGTGTCCAAGATATAAACTTTAGATTGTTTGCAGTAAATCAACAGTTTAAGTTAACTTTTTTAAAAGGTTCACGGATTATGTTGCGCTTACATAACATAGTTATAATATAATTTAGCATACACTCAAACCTTACAAGTGAATTAACACTATGTTGTTCACTCCGTGTATAAAAGTCCTACACTACTTGTAACCATCATTTGTTTAGTCTTACCACTATCAATCAATGAAGTTATTCTGAAAATATATATGACAAGCAAATTCTATTAAAAACACAAGAATTTGTTTCCTTAACAATCGAATAGAAAAAATCATTCGTAAGAGGTTTGGAGCAGTGAAATGCTATCAAGAAATTACAAAAACTATTTCTTTGTATGGTCACTGTATTTTAGATTTCAAGAGATATAAATTCAGTATTTCCATCGATAAATTTTAAAATCACGTTGCTTAACTTCATATAATGTAGTTACAGAACATGACTTCAGGTTTTTCAATAAATACCTTGAGAATTAAGGCAAAATGGTGACTTCGTACACCATAAACACTTTGACCATTTGAAACTAGCGGAAATACACATGTACAAGTATGTTGAAATACTGGAAAACGACGGTTAGCACAGCTGAACAATATATCTATATTCGCATTTCCTGAGCTGTTTTCACTAAGATTTGGCTACTTATGAAATACAACTTGGTCAGATCACCAAATCTCAAGTTAGTTTGAATACCCATGAATTACCTGCAAATTGACAATTTAATTTATTTTCCAAAACGCATCTCCTTGAAATGATATTTCTGAAACAAAAATAATGATTGATGTTTTACTGATTTTCATCTTTTTTGAAAGCAAATCTTATGAATCTTGAGGTTAAATAAAACTCAACTAATTTTAATTCGGTGGTTAAGACCTATCTATAAGTCGTCTATTCACGTTCATCCCGATAGAAAACTGGGTTACATTATACTTATGTGGACGAAATTCAACATAATTATCATTAACAGCAGTTAACTTCTAAGATTTCCTTCAAGTTACCACCATATCTTGTTTCGCTTTAATATAAACCGCAAATTAGCGTCTTACAAAACTACAGACAAGAAAAGAGTATTCAGGATTAAGGATTTTTCACTTTAAAGGTATGGGTATCTTTGGCTGCATAACATTTAAACTGCCGAAAATAAAGTGGTCTACTTACGAAGATGTCGTACCGGTGAGCGTTTAATTTAGTTGTGCATTCAAAGAATTCATCGCAGTTAGAACAAGAATTAATTCAGAAAAAAAGGTTCAAAACTTCCAGTTCTCTGTAAAATCATTTGTTTGAAAATCTGTCCTTTTTTCACTGAAAGGATAGGTGGTATATGAAGGTTAGGACTGCGTTTCACTTACAAGCCACTCATATCTAACTACAGAAATTTCATCAACAGGTTACCTTAGAGCTTAAATTAGTTAACAGGTTTTCTAATTTATGGATCGTTTAGAAAGTGCTTTACTTTGTCTGTTGTTTCATAATCCTAAGTCAATTATGGTAGGGAGCTTGAATGAAAATTTATGAAAGTGAGTTTGGGTATCTGGTTATATTTCGGAATATGATGGAACTTCGACACTGATTCAAAGTTAGATGTAAGTTTTTGATAGCAAGTTGGAAAGATATGCCTAGAAGTTATTAAATATTTACACAAAGACTGACTCCAGACACTTTGACCAATTATGCCTTTTCTACTGACAGTAACTCAAGGAATTTCCATTCGACTATTGTCTAAATCTTAATCACATTACTAAGATAGTTTCTGCACACTTTGAAAAGAATCATAAGACCAAATAAAATGATGTTATAGTAAAAGAACTGAGAGATACGATGAATATTACTACCTAAAATTTCATAAATAAGAAGGTAATGCTATCCAATATGACATTTATAAAGGCTTTCGGCATTATCTAATTGCAATTAATTATATTTATATTACTTTAGAATCTGTGTAAGGGAACATAATTTATGGTTGTGAAGAAAATTCGTAGCTCATAGCATACATCAGATTTATTATTGATGCAAGAAACTGTAAATAGTCCTCAATTTAATATCGTTCATAGATTCTCCTTATATTTCCTTTCAATGACCACTTACATTATATTTATAAGAAAGTTAGTTCGCTGTTTTCACAGAAACAGTTTAGCCCATTACGATAAAATAAACATGAGCCACTGGTCCCTTTCACTGTTTGTTTTAACTATACAATTAGTTGTATTTTATTGAAGTGATCCAACGTGTTTTGTAAATGCGCAAATGACATTTTTGAAGCATATGCTTTTATGGTGAGCGATTGTATTTCCTTTTAGGTTACTGTGACCATTTTATTAATATTTGTATTGAATAAATCAAATACTAATTATTTGTTTAATTGAGATTTATTCCTATTTATTTCAGTTGATATTTTCAAAAATGACGCTTTTTGCCCTTTTTTTATGCTCAGTGGACAACGTTGAAAAGAGCACTCTTAAAGACCATCACAGTCAAGTTGTTTCTCCTCTTTACTAGTTTAACGGCCATAAGGTTTAGTCTTATCATTGGCTGAAACAATGCTTTGGCTATCACGATTAGTAGCAAAAGTCAATTTAGCGAGAAAAATATTCTTTCCGGGGAATCATTTTCAAAAGCTGTACATCTTAGTTATAGTTACAACAAAACATATTTATGGGTCAGTGCAAGGTCATCAGAAACAGGGAGTAAGGTCACGGTTTGATAACGGCTAGAGGATATGTGTAGTGGATAAACTACCGCTTTAGGTCACCTGAATGTGTGTTTACCAATTCATCCCCTCTTTCGGAGCTTGTTATGTAAGCCACACAAAGTGTTCCTTCCAAATGCATCTCCAAACACTATCCTGAATGGCTGTCTAAAACGCAGTGTGAAGCCATCAACAGTTCGATTATTGAGCATTCGGTTAACTCTGGTCATTGTACCTCACGAGAGTCATCTTTTGAAGTCATTTATAAAGTAGAGGCAAACATTTCGAAGAGAGTGGTTGTTCACCAGCCCACCACAATAGAAGCTCGTTCAGTCCAACATAACGAACTTGCTTCTTGTGTTCAAAAAAGATACATTCAGTCCCTGATCTAGCCACTGTTATAATCTTCTTAGGATAGTTTATTCATCTCTTTGTTTATTTATTATAACCCCATAAGCATTTTTTGATGACCTTGATTTGACCTACTGGCTGTTATTACCCTGTAACCTTAGTCAGCGTTTTTAATGACTTTTTATTGGTCCATTGGTCATTGGTGGCATTTATATATCTTGCTGTAACCATGATTACGATGTACAGCTTTTGAAAATGATGCGTCGGAAAGAAAAGTTTCTTCACTGAGTTCTCTTTCATTAATTTCCATTATCTAATGAGACTGTAACGGTAATCTTATTAATGAATGTTAACAGCTCATTTTGAGACCAGACATTTTCAGAAGCACTTATTCCGAAGAGGAGTGAATCGTAATAAAAAAAGCGTATGTTTTAAGATAGCAGTTTTGCTTAACTTGAGATTTACAGACATGTGAGTGACGAAGTTGATTTTTATCTGATGCAAGTTGGACTAAACAACGTAATTGCCTTTGTGAATAGACTCTGAATTTTTTAGTAGGATAACGTAAGATTTCTTGTCTATCTCTTACGTTTCACTAAGTCTGATAATGTTCATCTAATCATTGTGTATATTACAATGATATTAATTCGATTTCTCTTTGTTTTTTTCTATAAACAAGAGACTCTCAGGCAATTTTTGTAGTGTTACATTCCTTACCACGAAGTTGTCATGGACTCTTACAATCAACAATTTCTGTATTTGGCTACTGTTGCAAATTTAGTGATTTCACTTCAGAAATAAATTTTGAGTAAATATATGTTAGTTGCAAAATATAAACATCACAGTCCTATCTATGTAGTATTCAGTACGGTCAAAAAAAAGCCAAATAGTTTTCAATGTGTATATATTACGACAATATTTAATAAACCTTTTATACACATTAAATTTATGCCAGTTGAATCGTTATTGTTCAATCTTTAAAGTGGCTGAAATGAAATAAAAGCATGCTGTTTGATTGTTAGTGATTAGCAGTGGGATCCACGGTGCGTGTTTCATCTTATTCAGGACTCATTAGCTAGAGTTGTCTGTTTTACAGTGTATGATGGTACTAGCACTGAAACTCCAACCCAGCACACTTCATTCCAAACAGCAGAGCGTTATCCATTAGGCTACTCAGACATGAGAGTTAACTTTAATGCAATGGGTATTATTGAATATTTATTGGAGCTTGTAATGCACTGAAAGAGACCAGTCATTTCCGTCCAGTATAACAATCAAAGGGGAACTATAGACATCAATAAATAAAATGCTTATATCTTTATTACTTTGATGAACATCTGGGTAGAAGTAATATGATTTTGTATAAACACAAATTATTAGAAGAGACCTCAAGATTGAAATGCAACTACTACTGCGTGCAACAGCAGAATAGCGAATCTGATTTGAGCATTTAGTACAAAATGAGAGAGAACAACTGGAAATTCGTTCTTTAAGTTCAATTGAATTCATTAGTTGTTGAGGTGGCAACCTATGGCAATGAAGAAATCCTTCGCATATCCCAACGTTTCAAGTGTTTATTTCAGTATCATATGCTGCTTAAGCAACAAATCATTCTTTAGTCATACTCTGGAATTACGGTTCTTTTTGTAAGTGACTAATCAACAGAAAAATTGCATATTTTAACACTTCTTACAGGAAAATAGTTGATAAATAAATTTGTAGAAATTCTGGTTTACCGAAATTGTCATATCGATGAACTTTAGTGTATTAACGTAGTATCATATCGACTGGGTGTTTAATGCCAAGGAATTGTGACCTTATGGCTTAGGCAGCCAACCTTTAGCTGGTAGATTATATTTGTACATTCCCCAAAACGTCATGAAACATACCTGCACAATATCTGCCTTGAATTTGGAAGAAATTCTATACTTTGACTAGGTGATATCCAAACTTCTGGCAGTGTCCGAGACTTTGTCTTTTTTGCTTTGCATTCTTGTTGAAAACTTTTGCTTTCCTCGAGATCTGTGTTATCACACACCAGATTATTTTTATCACTATCATATGAATCGGCTTTGTTAGTGGATAATTCATGAAAACTTGGTGGACCAGAGTCTACTTCTATGATAGTCTTCAAGTGAAAATTATTAGCATGCAAATTACGGAATGAATATGCACGTTCCGATGAATGCATTCGATGATTTTCATCTGCAGATAAAATTGAATAATCTGATGATTTCCAGTTTTCTGCTGACTTATTGGATAAAAGTGGTAAACTTCTTGCTCCGAGGATCATATGACTGTAGGTACCATTGGAATGACGCTTAAATCCACTATACGATAGATTTTGAAGCTGTAGCCAACCTTTCGGTAAGGGCTTATCGAACCAAATTGAAGATTGTTTTGTGTTATACTGTGTTCTATTTACAATTAAGTTACTTGTTGGATATATATTATTTGTGAGATTTAAATCACTCATTACTTCAAGAATATGAAAATCTGCTTCAGCTTTTAACAAATTTTCCGACGACATTATCATTTGTCCACTCACACGTTTAATTGGATAGGTAGATATGGGAAATGAGGGTGGTGAGTTTTTAAGTTGTGTCAAGGATACTGTCCGTAAACAAATTTCTTTCGATACGGAATCAACATTTGTTCGGAGTGAATTTGTTTCTAACACAGGAAGAGACTTGGATCGTGTCCATTCAAGCCTTGGTGAATTGAGCTGTTGTTCTTCTTGCGGTTGTGTATTCTGTAAGTAAATATGCATAAATAGAAATAGAAAGACAAACAGCGTGCAATAAACGATAAGAAGTAATTAGTAATTAGAAAACCGGCATGAAATTCACAGAAAGTTATGTCTTTAATAAGACTTTGAAATTATGGTGTACACAGTTTTACTAAAATCTATCCTAAATCCCAACCAGTCACCGAGTATCTATGAATTTCATCCTTTAAAAGTTAAACATGGAACAATGAAAAAACTTTCTGCGTGAATGGTAGTCATATGACCACTTGTAGACGGTTAGTTACTCCAAGTTACATTCATATCACTGTGTATGATTCATATCATATAGATGATACACCGTAATATACTTAAGTAACCAATATATGAAGTTTATTACTGTAATAAGTATTTTTTAGCAGTCGACAGGAAGCATTGAACCGTAATTTCACACTGATTGCCAGTTATGATCAAAAGGTGTCTAAAAGGCTGGAGAAAATGATGTTGCACAAGAGAGACGTAAGTATTTTCTTTATAGATGGTGTCAAAAAACAAGCAAAATATCTCAGAGCATCAAGTCGCCTTGCTAATCAGTCATATTGTATCCTAGAAAAGTAGAAGAGACTGTGCAACTTGGAATGAAGAGAGTAATTGCTTGGTGACCTCCAGGTTTTGTTGTTTAGTCAGAAACTTTGTTATACTGACCTAATCTTCATAATAATTGCAACAGCATGAAAACCAGGTCTACAGCTAATGGAAAGGTTACAAAGGTAAATAACTCGGTGGATATAGCGTGTTTTGTGTACCATTAAGTGGGATAATATCATTTAGTCATCTAAAATCTTGTTTGTCTTCTTAAGAAACTTGATCAAAGTGGTTTTGAACGAACTCAAAAAATCCCTGATACCAAATAAAATTAGTTGATTTCATCCCTATAATTTCCTTCAAGCAAATACAAACAATACTTCTATGTACAATCAACCGACTGATTTTTATTGACTGTCGTACAATTTACTCAGTTATCTATGGCGATGCATATGTATCACCACACTTAGGAAAAGCTTCGGATTTATCAGAACCAATATACTTGATGGTGAGTGCAACATATTGACTTGTGTTTTCTAATATGTCACAGTCGCTGGGGGATAGAAATCAGTTAGAAAAGGTTTCCATCCTTGCACTTTCTAGTCTGCAAGGTGGATATCATATATAATTACCAATGTGGAGTAACAAAAACCTGATCTGCACATAAAAAATCTAAAATGATAGTAAGAATGGCGCAGTAGGAAATACAAAGTAAACTGTTTTGTCTAGAAGAGTTTGAGAAAGTCACTAACACCTCGATCATAAGTCGACGAGTCATTTCTACATAGATTCGATGTCAAAAAGAAAAATACAGAGTCAAAGTCATCTATAAAAAGACCGCTTGAACGGTTACTCCTTCACTATCAATTATAACCAATGTTCTCTTCATCTTCACCTATATGAAGACCATACGCATACTTAAAAGTATCAATTATCATTCCTCAAATCAAAATATGTGGACAGCAGTTCATATGACTGTGAATATGAGAATATAAGTTTCTTGAATGGTGGTAGTTACAAGCCACCGTAGGAATTTATCGCAGTCTATCACTGCAATACGTTACTATTTGAAAGGACGATTGAAATGATTTCATTATATCTTCCAAGTAAAAGGTGAAAAATCAATGAAGTCAGATTTCAATACATTTCTCGCGTCACTTGGTTAGAGTCGAGGAGATTGAGGTAGGTCACTTGGTTATTAAAGAAGATGATCAGAACTTCACTGTTTTCTTAAGTTTCCTTTCATTATATTCTCTTGTAAGTTACTACCAGTCCCATAGATAGACACCATTATGTTTTAATAACTAGTTATGTCATATCACTGTTACCTTGCTTGCTCTTCTTCTTCAGTCTACCTTCAAAGAAAATATGCACCTGCGGTTCTAAAATAGTCCTCCAAACAGATGACTCTAATACCTTCAGCAGATTGCAGCTAAAGATATTCAAACATTCATTATTACCATTTTTTATTACTGCTGATATTCCAACTAATCTGTATTACTTAAATAACGGATAAGCCTCATTTGGTCATCTGAAAATAGAAGGAAATTACAATGAACATAGTAATCTTGTCGACGGACTATTTTCGTACTCATACAGCTATGAAGAGGTTTCGTCCAAACTGTAATCATCTTCTCTGTAACCTTCTTTTGTTTTTCAAAAATGTATTTTTTAATAAGTATTGTGAATGTTAAGTAAGTGTATTTGTAGTACTGAGATAATACAAAGATAACTGAAGTGACAGTCAAAACTCAACATTCTTTTCTTTCCTTTTTAAGGCAACTGCAAGTGTCCAGCTGAAATGAAGTCTTCAACGATCAGAATTTGCACAGTTATAATACGCGGATCTAGCCACAGCCAACAATTATCAATCGGTTAATTACCTTATTTAGCTGGATATCAAGACCAAATGTACTGGAACAGGATTCACTCAAACTTGTATCCGATCGTAAACTGGACCTTCGAATTGTACATTTTGGTGGAAAGGAGTATAAATTATGACCACATGCAAAATTGTTTAAGTTACTATTGCTGGTACTGGTGTGTTGTTTTGTAGGAGAATAATGAGCTGAGTTGCTTATAGGATGAAATGATCTGTTATCTTTCCAGTTGCTACGATCCTTGAAATCATTCACTGAGTTTCTTTCTGCATTGGTAATTGTGTATACAGGTATACTTTCTTCAGAATTATAATTTACACTTATAGGATTTTTCATTGGTATTGTTGGATTTGAAAGACAGGAATGTGACTTGTTACTTGGCAACTCAAGCGATTTGAATGAACTGTTTATTTTACAGAGTATTTTTGATAAGTCTAAACTTTTAATAACCTCTGTGGATGATCGTTCATTATCTTGTTGTTCTTGTTGTGGAGTATTATTCTCATTGGTTGTGCATTTTTTGTTTAACGGTAAAATTACTCCAATATCACAAATGATCGAGCATAGAACAGAGTTTATTTGCTCCAACTGTGCTACTCTCTGGTGTAGTTGATGACAGTTCGTAAGGATATCCTGAAGAGAAATTTGAAGAGATGAAAATTTAGAAATGAGTATACTTTCACGGACTGATATAATTGGTTCGTTTAGTTAATTCATACTGACTGATTTGGTTTGTGTCGGTGAACAGTTAAACAAGTGTTTATTACAGTTTATAAGCTGTTACAGTGATAATTCATAATGAAGTCTATTAACGGTGGATTTCAGTGTGAATGGCTTAGTGGTAACGTATCTATTCGTGGTATTCAGAAATGCAGGTTACAGATACTTCTGTTTTTTCAAGGTTGACAAAGTGTTCTACTATTGGGGGCCAACAAGCGTGACAACTAGACTTTAGTCTTCCTGCAGATGAAATCGAAATATGTATCACCTAATAGAGTACATTGTGGTGTTACGTTACTTAGCATAAAAATCTTATGCTATACCTTGTTAGCAAGTTCTTATCAACACTTAGAATTTGTGCTAAACATTGTTCGCATTTAAGAAACTGGTTTGAATGTTAATTATGGTATTGGAATGTGTGGAGACCTATTTAACAATTTCTTGTTATGCTTTATTTCACCACTTATTTTCAGATTTGGATCGTACAATTTTTCATAGCAAACCGTTGAAGGTTAGTTTGCCCTCTAAAACACTTACTCAGTCAAACCAAACAATCTGGAATATAACCATCTTCAACTTTTCGGCTTTCGTTCTGCTTTCTTGAATAGTATTTAAACTATTAAGTGAGTAGTTAACCTTATGGATACCATAATTAGCTTCCATAAGTTTGGAATACACTAGATTTGTATTTTAGTCTGTCTAAATAAATATTATCCTATAACTTTGGGGAGGTGAACTGCATATATATCTATAATGATGAAGAGCGTAGCTTAAGATGAGAAGGTTCTGAATGAGTTCTTCTCTGTTTTAAGGATTTTATTAGTAAAGGTTTCAACTTCATCTTCATTATTTCATTTACAAAGTAATTTATATGAACTTTGATCAAAATTTGATCGAACAGTACCGTAAGCATTGGAGACCGAGTAAAAGGTTGACTTCAAATATGATTTATATTTGTGTAGGTCGCAGCGCGCTTAAAATATAAAAATATCCTGATATTTCGCATAAAAGTTTAGATCGCACATTTTCGGAATAACTTTGAGATTATTTTATTTCAAACACGATATGATTTACACAAATCTAAACTCTATCTATTTTCATTAGTAGTGTACAGAGAAGTGAAGTAAGTTAATCTCCTAAAGATATTTGTTATGCTCTGTTTTATTGGAGTCCAAACTTATTGGCTGTTCGCTGAGTATCCAAATGTGTAATCAAACTGATTAGTTTTCATTTTGCTTCCAACATTCTCAGATGGGTCTTCAACTGATGAAGGTAGCGCGTGATCTGATTAGCGGACCTTTCTAATCTATAACGAGATACTGTACGTTGATTTGTAGGTTAACCGCATTTTTAAGGGTAGTTTACATTCAGTAAATTATTCCTTTTGAAGCATGAATCTGCTGATGAAGTTGTAGGCAAATGAAGAGAGATTTTGAAATGTGTGAGTCTGTATTTTTGTGCTTCTTTTGCTATGTTGAGTAAAATCGGATTTTTTATCAGTCTGGCATTTTCCTGTCAATAGTGAAATTGACAGGATTTATGCGAAATTAGTGCAACCCTAAATCTACGTTTACCTTTGTAGGTAGAAAACTGAATGGAAATACATAACAGTAAATATTAATCCCCGTTTCTGTTATTATTATGTAATTTATACCGTAGAAAAGTTGGTTTATAGCACAATATTTAAACCTTCACTAAGCTGCATCTATGATATGTGAACTCTACAAGATGGAAGTATTTAGAAACCTACAGTCTGTAATTCCTAGGGTTTTTTGCATCCTTTAGCTTCAAAAGTTAGGGGACTTTCAGATCTCATGGCGTTTGTTTGGGTGGTCTGCATAGTTTTAAAATGTCGCGCGAATGAAATTTCAGTTACTTTTATACTGGTACTTGTCTGATAGTGGTAGGAGTGCAAAGAGAAGAAAAGAAGACTTGTTTGAGCTATGAAGCAACCAGATGTAATGAAGTACTTTCATAGTCAGTTGGTATCTATTAAACCACCAGTTCTTACATTAGGTTCTTCATTATAACTGAAATAAAATACAAAGTGATACTTCAAGTAAACACTCTACTTCTAAGCAGTTTGTGAAGGTAAATAAGCCTTTTTGGATTTGTTCTACTTCTTCACATTAAAACTGAATGCTAAATAACAATTAATGTGTAGTGATAAATATCAGCACTGAAATCGATAATAAAGCATTTAAACAAAGGTTTATTTTCGAAAGAATTAAGGAAATGCATCTGCAAAACCACTTAATATTCACCTATGGCCAATTTTGTTATGCTTTATTTCTCAGTTTAACAGTACCTGACAATCGAGTTTCCACCTGATGACTGAGATTACAGCAACGTGTACATGCATTCATGCCATTGAAATCGACTCCAAGCCATGTCATCCAGAGGTCTCCAACAACCGATTTCAGTTGTTATGCTAACAACAACTAGAAACTTTGTGTTTTTGTGCACTGCTAAGTTCAACAGTTAGAGATTTCATGAAACGAATCCATGTTTTAGTCTGAGTGCTGCTCATCTTTTTCCGGCTTGAAACCACTTTAAATAACGTTGTGCGATTGTGCAGTGTGACTAGGCATGCGTAGCACATTTTCCAGCCCCCTGAGTTGACGAATTTTCATAACCTTATCAACTGACTTTTCTGTTCCGCTCACACGGCCTGTGGTATCAAGGAAATGGTGATGGAACACTTGAGGTCACCTCAATGCCTTACCTTTAGTGATCATTTTTCATAGCCATACTGTAGAAAAGAGCAAACTACGGTGCAGTAAACTCAGCCCTTAATTGGTAATGGATATTTCAGCGACGCTGTAAATAGCACAAGCTGGTGAAATCTAATCAAGGCTTTGTTTCCACGCTGAGATTTTGTCATCTAACCACTGGTATGAGGAAACTCATTCCAGATACCTCTGATCACTATGAGGAGCCAGAGCAACTGAAACATGAATTGGATAGAAGTCTTCACCATGACTTCAACGAGTAATACGTGGTGAAAAGTAAAGAGAGGAAAAAGAAGTCAGCACTAAAAAATGCCCAGTGGTTGTTTTGGCTTGTTTTACGAATTGATAAAAAGTAGTTGACTACTGAGACCATCATGGAAGAGGATAGTGCTCTGGTAAAGTCTAAGAACGGATGGCTGGGACGTTTGGAGAACATTTTGAAGAAAAGTTCAAATGAACTACCGTTGAGCTAAATACGGCGTTCATATTGGTCTTCCAAATCTCTTCGATATTAAGAAGGTTGTTTTAAATCTGTTACCAAGAAAAATAGAGCAACTTGACTGTTTATCACCAGAAGTTTTTAAGGAGGGAGGTTAAAAATTACCGGGGAGAGTAGACGAGGTACCAGGTAACATTTGCAAATCAAAGGCAGTCTCATCAAACTGGTCTAGGTCATCGATCACTTCAGTTTATAAGAAAGTAGAGGTCTTCATGTGAAAATTGTAGGTAAACCAGTGTGACTGACATTATACCTAAGACTATAGAGTTCATACTTATCTAACACCTAAGTGGAGCTCGAAAACAACAAACTGAGAAAGATCAGGAAAGTTTCACACCTGGATGAGAATGCATTGATTGGGTCTTTGACTGTCGACAGGTTTCAAAACACAGGGGTACTTCGTGGTGGTCTATACTTTCTTTATTTCTTGACCTAGTGAGGTCATTCGACTTTGATGACCCAGAGGTGTTTTGACATTTCGAAATGAAGAAAAATATTTGCAGCTGAGAGGGGAGATAATTTTGATGGCGTAGTATTCTCCGAGCTGAATGGTTTAATTATGAAGATTTGATTGTTGGTGTCGACAACATAATCAGCGCAAACTCCAGCAAGAAGTGAGCTCTGGGATTCCCTGCACTAGTGACTTTGAAGCTTGTTTTCACCAAAGTCTTGTCATTATCTCCATATTTGGTAGAAACAACCAACCACACACAAGAGCCTCAGAACAAGTTACCGAGCCACATGTGGAGAAAACCTTTTAACTCATTTCTTCCTGAAGTTTGTGCTGATGATGTTGTCTACAATGACAATGAAAGCTTCAAAATTAAACCATCCAGAACAGAGAACGTAACACGACCAAAGTGCCATGATACCTCTGGCTGTTAAGAGAAGGCCAATTAGGTATGCGTTACCAATTTAGTTCTTCTACTCAGAATCCTGGGACCGTTTTAGAGTCTATGAGCAATTTTTACCTAAAGTATTGACGAAAGGTGGCATCCACCAAGAATACCAATAGTCGCCATCTCTGATTAACTTTGTTGCATACCTGCCATTGGATATAATTTTAAGTACATCCAACTTGTCAGGGATTGAGTTATTGCTAGGAAACCACTTGGATGACTTGGAACTTGCAGACAACATTGACCTATTAGGCGAAAATTCTGGCTAAATTCAGAGTCTTCTAAACATCTTGAATGGAAATTTAAGTATGTCTGGTATGAATTTCGTATCTGCCAAATGTAAGATGACGCTTCAGAACTGGTCTGCAGAAATTCTAACTTAAAGATAGAGAGCGAGGTGGTATAATGCACTGACCGCTTCATTTTATGGGAGTTGTAGTAGTCAGAATACGTTGACTGTTAATGAAACCTCAGCCGAGATTCAGCTTCAACTTTCACCATCTCTTGCTAAGGTTAGATATTCAGCTATCTTTTAAAAAAAGTGTTGTGCACTGTAGTCAACACTGTCCTGTTACGCAGCTGTGAGAAATGTCCACTAAAATTATATGAACTGAAGAGGTCGAATGTTTTTAACCGTAGATGTCTACTTGGTATTGCTTAAATGCGCTGGGATCACCAAATAAGAGATCTCAGGTTTACTTGGAGGGTACTAAGCAATGCAGGTAGGTTGGTAGATGAGGTTTCCAGCCTGTGGAGACTGAGATGGCTTGCATCTGCATTGCGCATACCTATTAACCACATGTCGTGATGTGCAATGTCGGCTATTTTAAGATTGGAAAGGAAGAAGGCTCAGGGTGACTAAATGAAAACGTGGTACCAGTTCATGATATCTTTGAATTTAGTCCAGAGCCATGATAGAAGATGGAGGCTATCTAGACAGGTTCCTCGAGGTAAAGGGAATCAATGTTTAAAGAATATTTGTTGCATGACTTATAATCGGCTAAAATGACGAAAATGTACTCAATTTTTGAGCATTTTCACTTACCTTTATTCTTTTTTTTTCTCCCTCCCTACCCACACAATTTTGACTACTTCGACATCACTCTTTTTCTACCCATTTGTTCTCTGCGCGCTGCTATTAAATGTTCCAACTTGAACTGATACACGTCTGTGCCAGTTTTTACGCTAAACTGTTTGAGTGTTGTGATAGGTGCTATTGAAGACGGCAATAGTGATACCAAAAGAAACTCGTTGAAAATAAAACACTGTGACAAGCTATAAGGTTAATAGGTGTTTCACCTATCCATCAGCAACTTCACATCACTATCTGTAGGTGAACTCGAACGCAATTTAGGGAGATTCACTGGCAGCAGTCTTCCAGGAAGTAGGCTAATACAAACGGCACTTAATAATGACGTAATTTCTAGCACAAATGTAGTCCATTGTCAGAAGTGAGATAAACTAGCAATATTTGTTTTTGGCATATTCGCTGGTAATTCATGGACGTGTTGCTCTTTAATTTTGAAGATGCGTTATCTGTCTTCAGAAAATTGAAGAAAACTTCTAAGTCTTCCCTGATAATCCAGTCAAGATAAGCTCAAACGCCTAAGTACATAAATATGTAAGTAAATGGTGAGAGTGTAAGAAAGTTTATCACATCCCGGAAATCATGTTATTCTACTTGAGTCCTATGATTTGAGATAAATAAAGTGAAATGTTTGCACAAGTGCCTATTTCATAAAAGAAAAGTAGAGATCAATTTCAGATACCAGCACTATAGATTATGGCACAGCTGTTTGCGCTACATAAATGTTTTGAAATTGTTTTGGATTTTTATATTAAAAACAAAAGGAATTGTACAAGTTCAAAATCAACAATAAAATAGTCTGATGACAAGATGATATCATAATGTTCACTTACTTTTTGGGCAATGTTTGTGTAAAGTAAAAGGCTGGTAAGTTGTTCAACTGCATTCGGAATTTTTGGATCTCCATTTTGAGCTGTTGGCGTTAAACTTATACCAGGATTCATTTCTGAGGTGTACAAAATTTTTAGAAATTCTTTAAAATATTCTTGTCCATTCAACGACTTTGTAAGCGGTGATACCTATTTTCAGGGGAATAGTGAGTAGATAAGTGTTTAAACTGTCAGAATTGTATTAATGATCACAACTTGTTATCAGTATAGCATTTTGTATGTTTAAGAGGGACAATAGTAATAACAGTCGCTTCATTCCAAACAAAGTGTTTGATACAATATGGAATCTTCAACAAGTAATATTTCATTAAATTCACTTCCAGTACGTAGTTTTTAAACGAAATTGTAACATCATCTGAATAATGTTACTAAAAACAGTATAAAAGTCAATAATATGAAAGACTCAGCTAATGCTAGTTTACCGTCTAGTTTCGTCTGGATAGTGAGCAGCAAAGCGCACTCACTAATGTAAGCTTTATGGTGGTTCATTCAGTCAGTTCGAGAATCTGTATTTCGAGCTAATTATCCTGGGAATAGGAATAAAATGTATTGTTGTGCATCTAAAAGTCTATTACCTCATTTTGTTTTTGTCCTGAAAAATGGCTGAATAGAAATCCTTCATATATGTACCAGAGCACAAGATATGTTTAGAACGCACATTTCAAGGACTAAAACGGACCAAAAAGGAATAATTTTATGTGTTCAATGGAAATGTTTTAGTATTCTTAAGTTTAAGCAGTCCACCTCACTTTTGATACCAAATAAATATCCATATCGTTTTTATTTGAGATGTGAGTGTAATTTGATATGTCATTTACTAATATCATAGACACCATCTGGCTTCTGTAGGTGAGTGTACCGGCTTTGAATCACTTTACACATATCTTCCGATCTTACAACTATTAAAAGTCTATAATTACGTCTCTTATCTACTTGACCTGACGTCCTAGACTCACTTTCCAAGCAGAAAATACTTATATATGTATATATATTTTCCAAGTAGTATTCATCACAGATTGACATCTTTTGGAGAAACATAGTAGGTCCATACTTCTGAGTCTCACACGAGGACGAAATAACTGTCCGGTGCTCCTAGATTCTCAAAGGTTTTTCAATGGATATCAGTCCATTATCGATACCAGTTTAGAAATGACATCCTCGTTAACCTCAAAATACATTAAATGCACACTTAATTTAAATTTTCTTTCACGTTATTTTCGACAATACTACAATGAAAATTTTCATGTACAGATTTGGAAAACAAATAAATTCAGTGTGGAAAGATTTTCTTTCAATTACTTTTTATCCACAAGCATACACTAATACGTGAATGTTTTTAAAAATCATACAACATAGTATGCAGATCTAATAGCAGAGATTTCGTTAATATGGAATTATAAGTTTCTGAATGGATAAAAACTAATCATCTAAATCAATGCAGCCAATAAAGAGGAAAGTAACTGAACACTCTACTTGTGCAAGTTGAAAACAAACTGTCATATACAGAAGAAGTTGAGGGTCAAGAATGAGCTAATCATTGTACAAAAGTGTTTTAGTGAAACCCTGGTGTGTTTCGAAAATCACAACAAGATTTTTCCGAACGTTTCACTATGTAACACTAAGCTTCTTCAGTAGAATATACAGGCTTTTATTAATATCGTAATATACAGTCAAGTAGTACATCAAAAATGTTCAGTGAATGTAGATCACTGGTTATGTGGTTTATCGTTCACACTGAGTAATTATAAGTACTCGTTACAAGTTCATATTCCGTATTGTAATTACCTTTGTGAGAATACTAGTTTACTGATTAACAATCAGTAACTGTCATTTTAATTAAAGCTCCAATTAAAAAAGGTTATAACTGATGACTTAGTCGAATTAATGTTTGCCAAATAAGTGACAAGTATACTACTTCTCTACTGTTTATAGCATTTGATGTTGTTAAAATGTGTGGGACCTCGAGGGTTAATCCTTCTTTATGCGAATGGAAACTTCACTAACATATATGCATTACCGAAATCAATCATACATTCACTTTAGACATTATGCATAACCATTACTGATTGCTTCTCTAAATTTCCTAATTCATCTTGATTCTTCGGTTGATCTCTCGTAACAACTTGTATTCATTCACCTTGACTTTTAGGGGTCTAAAACTTTCTCCAGGGGAACTAGACTCATTTCAAACATTTGATTTTGAGGACAGGGTTGTTATTTGTTATCTTAGGAGTTGCATCTTCTACTTTGACTTTCTGGAGATTCAAAACAGACTTAAATGGCATCTGAGGTGCATTTCCAATCATTCACTTCAGAGGTAGTTTTCTAATATGACGTGATCATAGATGACACCTGAGATAATGTTGCTCCTAACTTTTTGGGGTGCCTTTTCCCATTAAAACAGCTTTCATTCAATAGATTTCATTTTTTTAATCATGACTGCCAATAATAATAATAAAGGCACGAAAAAAGCAAGAAAATCTTGTAGTGATTTTCGAAACATGTCAGGGTTTTACCAAGACCTTCTTGTATAGTGATTAGCTGAGGCTGAGGCTTTGCTTTAAGAAACTTTCGTAACAACTATGGTCTGGATGTATGTAAACGCTCATATACTTGTTACTGTGAGCAATAAACTGAATACTGAACCAATGAATTTTGAGTGATCATTTGTTAGAAATGCTTAATCACGTGAAAATATGATATTTTTATTTCCTTTGATGAACCTGAATAACTCAAAGAGAACAACGTTTGCAGCATAAGCTGACAAAATGTTTTTGCATAGAATTTTCCTTATCTGCATTTTTACTGAATTAATAAGTATATAACCACCGTAACAAATATAAAAACCTTATATGGAGCGTCTTTATGTGCCAGTCAATGTCTTAAAGATCACGAAAAACATTAAGACTAAGGATACGAAGTAGGGTGAAGTAATAAATTTGGTCGAGATATATGCTACACTAGGTGAGATGAGGAATGCTCAAAAATCCATGCGATAAGACGTGAAATATATAGAAGTGGTTATGTCGTCATCTTAAAATGTCTTGACATAATGATAAATGGGTTCAATTAACTGTAGGAATAAATGAGATATAGAATAATAATGGAAGGATAGTCGGTGAGATAGGGATAGGAATGTGCATAGAATAAAGTCATTAGAATATTTTGAGAAACGTAAGTGGATAAAAGTCAGTGATTATCAGGGGGAAAATGAATTAGTAACAACCTCATTTTGAACACAATTCAAGTTAAACCCTGTGAAGGATGATATCATCATTGATTCCAAGTAAGGGCTAGATCTTTTGTTTGTTGACATTTACGGAATTCACTGCGTTTACTTAATGCTCTCTGTTTCATAAGTGATGAGCTGTTGCGTTACTAAATGGCGACGAACCTCTCAGAATTATATTCTTTGGCATGTATGCAGAAGTCCTAGCAGACAACCACCTCTCGATTTCTTTAACTTCCTTCCGCATGTAAAAACTTGGAAAGGGAGACGGTGAACTGTAACAGTGGCGGTTGAAAGGCGGTTTAGAGTAAAAGGTCATCTTTACTCAGTTAACGTAATTTAAGAAATATCATGTAGGTGGCTAACGTGAAGAAAGAGACAGTAAAACTTTCTTGTGCTACACATTACGCTAAATTCTTATGGCTTCTAACATGTATAAAAAATCAACAACAGTGCTAAGTTTACAAGGAATAAGGTAGATGAACAAAGGCTCCGTTTACCTTAGTTTGATTTTAAGTACAAACAAGGGGTGCAGTTACAGAACTTCGTATCAATCTTGTCTGTTTTTGGTCTCTTAGTTTCAAGTTTAAAATCAATGAATTCTTCATTTTGAAGGAGTATTTTCGAATGGGATTTGTATAACAAAACTTTGGTGATGTCCTCCTCCCCCCCCAAAAAAAAATTCAAGCAAGATGAAAAACTCGCTTTCTTTCTTATGTTCCTCATCTATCTGCTCAAGAGGCTACTCTAGTCACTTCGTCGATGAATGAATATGTTAGCATGATGAAAATAATAAGTGTTTTGTTCATCAAAGGTGTATGAAGTCTTATTTTTTGTTTTTGACTCATGAGAATCAGATATCTGACTTCATACTTACTCAGTATATTCCATTTCTTTTTACCCTTGAGTTAAGGAGAATGCAGAATCAAACGCCTAAATGTCTTCATAAAATTGTGGAACGTTATATTCCAACCTAGTAACTGTGCCGTAACATGCCAACTATTAGGCCTGATAATTTTGGCATCAGACTATCACAGGTTCATAAGGTAACGTTACTGTTCCGTACACGAAGAATTCCACTGGTATTTCTTTACCATGATTGAATGAGTTGCTGTTCTGAATTGTAAAAAAACATCCAACTATTGACCTACGAACGAAGCTGAAGCTGTTTGACTTTAAGGCCTAACATCAAGATTACATTAGTAGTCATAGGAAACAGATAAAGCAAGGCACTTCATACAAGTGAGCTAAGTTAATAAACTTCAATGTTTACTAAGATGAGATATGAAGCTTTAAAACTTCTATAAAGAGTGAATCATGTAATCTGAATCTAATTTCATACTTTATACCTGACATATATCTTTGAGATTATATACACTGACATACCATTACGTTTAATCATTGAAAAGGAAAGGGATAAAGTAATTGGTATCACCAAGAAAAATCATCTATTTCGTTGAAAGTTTAATTCGTTTTTTTTGGTATAGCATAACTTTGTTCAGTTCTTTCCGATACATAATGTCTAATAACAGAGATAATTTTGGAGAAGAATTTTACTGATACATTTTTCATTAACTTATATTAGGAAGTACCGCCATAAAAATTCACCTGCTCATGTTTGTACGCTAACATATGTTACTTTAAGTAACGTTTCACATATCATGTATAAACTAAAATTTACATATCAATGGGATAAATATAGCTTTCGATTGTCGTGCCATTTCCCTTCATTTTTCTACTGGTGTATTGGGACTACGCCAGATATATATATATATATATATATATCATATTCTTGTTAAACTTGTAAATATAAGTAAAACTATGCTTTGCTTATGTAATTAGAATGTTTGGCAGATTTGGCTTGGTGAAATGATAATTAAAGCAGATAAATCTGTATACAGAGATGTAAAAAGATATACACATATTTTAATGTGTAAACGTGTATAACATATAAAAGAAGAATAAGTCGTTCATTTCAATAAATTAATTTCAACACTGATTCCAAGTCAGGAAGAAGTATGCTTATTCTTAAGTATGTTTGCCCTTTATACTCTTCTTTTTTTGAAGTAAACAGCATTACCTTTTTCGAGAGTATACAGAAAGTATTTCTGTCTGGCATACTTTTGAAATGTAAGTAACTGGCAAGTGAATAGATTGTAAACATCTTTTTCACTGAATATTCTACTATTTCAAAAGTTATTTGAGGGTTAATGTACTTTAATAAGATTTTTTAGAACGTTGCAAATAGTAAAATGACAGAGTTTAAAACGTTAGTCTAATATAAGTGGAAAACCTGAGAACTGAGCTAGAATGTAATTCTACTTGAGATTTGCTTTTCTGATACATCACACAGTGTTAAAGTATTGTGTACTTGATGGGGTTTCTGATATAAGTTATTGCTCATAATCATATTACATCTATATCATGATGAGGTCAACTAGCTTGTTGATGAAACGTTCTGAAAAGCCTTAAAGCTAAGAGGAAACCAAGCAATTAACATAATACTATATCACTGTGCACACAAAGTAAACAAATATGAAATGGAAAACTGGAGGCAATTAAATTTCAAGTAAATTGAAGGTGTACTGTTTGCTGCTTCAAAACAAAGAAGATTGAAGGCTTCAGACGCTACCCTACTGTGGTCGTTGGTGTGAGCTGCTGTGAAGTTCAAACAAAACACTATTTTGTTTCTAGTGGTATTTTTAGCAAATTTTAATCCATCATGAAAAATTCTCCGATAACATCAGTTCTCCCCAAATTTATCATATTGGTTGTGTATAAATATGCGATATGACTTCTAACTTCATGATGCTATTTGTCGTATCGTAGTTGATCTTTGCCATGTGTTCTTTACAATCGTGTCTTTCCAGAATACAAAAGTGAAGTCAGTAACGGATTGTATTTTGGTTGAGTAGATATTGAGCCAAACAGATTATGTGAGAGCGAATGATGATACATAGTTGGTGAAACCTCGATAGGTGAAGTAAGCTTCAAACTAGTGTCCTACCGAGTGAAAGCCAAGTGCCTGGGATTAATGTGCCATAGTTTCACCTATTCCTTAAATAGTTATCCAGTATAAAAAATAACTGTTTCCCTATTTTATAAAAGTTATTAAGTGGTCACGGGAGAGCGATCAGTTTCATTTTGTCTAGTCATGTGTGCTAACCGGATTCTACCAATCACTCCTACAACATGGCCAGGAAACTAGGCGTCTCAGCATCGCGATGTGCATTGATGGATGTTAGTTGGTTTGAGGCAATCGGCAGAAAGCCCTAGACCTAGGTTTCCTGATTGTATACACTCCTACAGGAGGTCAGCCGCCACCCGAATGGCAATGTCACTGACTACAACACTGGATGATACGAGTTTGAATCTCAAGTAGGACATCAATTCCATCGAGGTTACAGATATGCCTTACTAACGAGTACCAACAAGCACGAAACCTGGATTCAGTGTCTCCTGCCGATTGCCTCCAACAAACTAACGCTTATATATGTATGTTATTTTAGTCGGTAACTTTATATAAACTACTTTCTGCGCAAATAAATTTTATTATTTCATTGTTTGTTTTCATGCCTTATTCTCTAACTCTAGGCTTTACCGCTCTGTGTACAGGCAATTAAAAATGCGACTGAGCAGTAAATCTACAGATGTACTGGGAGGAACATTGCCATCCATCTGTTGCATAAAACGTAGCTGAATCTATATCCACGATTTTGATCACCTAGAAAGGTAGGTTAACCATTATTTGACGCTATCACTTTGCGTCATCCCTTTATCCGATTACCTTGACACTATGTAAGTAAATATCTTCTGCGTATGCAGCTGTCTATTCGCCATCAAAAGAACACTAGTTGAAAAATTTAAGCTTACTTAAGCCTAACAACTATAATGCATCTGAGTAATTGATAAAGTGTTTTTGTTTTGAGGTTGGTACTCATCATGGACTGGAAACCTAGAAGCACTAGACAACTTCATCCAAGTACGACACTTTTCGGCTATATGCACCAGTGACTTTGTCAGGGTTCGAACCCAAGAGCTCCAGGTCTCGTGGCCAACACGTTACCATTAAGCCACTAGCTTGGAACCCAATGTTCTATATTTCCCACTTGTGTCATTTCAGAATGTAGCGCAACTTCTTTGCAATGCCGTCGTTGAGTTCGACTTGGTTGGCCTCGGCGGTCACTATTTCTCACTGGAATTTAGGGAATCAGCTTTTGAAGCTATTCATCCATGAGCACTGAACTACTTCATTCTGAAGGTTTTGGAGGGTGTTTTTATTGATTCAATGTTGGTATTCATGATAGACTGACATCATTAGACAAAACATTGGAAACCTGAGAGCACTGGATTAAATTTCGATTCATTGGCTCAGTGATTACATGCTGACCACTGAATCCGGACGCCCTGGGTTGGATCTCTGGTGAAGTCAGTGGTTGTTGTGTAGTGTTTCCAGCTTTCAAATGTTCCTCAAAATAATGTCAGTCTATGATGAAAACCAACTTAAAATCAATAGATAAATCCCTACAAACCTCAAAACTGAATATATTTCGTCATAAAAGGTGCTATAAGACTATAAAATTGAAACTATTTCGATTCTTCTTCTTCGCTTCTGTTTTCGCCTGACTTCATGGTTGTTGCGTAGTAATCATATTATCATAAGTAATAGTAAATGCTTCTCGATAAAATGCATTAGATATGTTAACTATGATCAAAGACTTACTCGTTCTTCAAGCTCCTTATAGCGTTGCTGAAGAACTAAATTTTCATGCTCTAAGTTCATCACTCGTTCTAGACATTCTTGTTTCACCTATAAGTAAGAAGAAATACTCTATGTGCTTAGCTGTCATGAAACTTTATCAATATTACTTTTGATATAACTAAAATCCGTATATTATTGTTATTGTTGTATATTTTCATATCATATCGATCTTTGAGCATGCTTCTGAAACCAGTGTAACGCACTGTGTGAGCTTATCGTTGTTTGCAACTCTTTAACATTTCTTAGAACCAGGCGTAGTTTGCACATACATTGAAATGTCTTTTATTCATCAGGCCTGGAAAGATAACCAAGTTTTATTTTCACCGTCGATGGAAGTTCTGATGGTACTAGAATACCAAATCCAAAATGTAACCTTTATTTGAGTTTTCGGTTTTCATCTGTTTTCTGAGCAAATCAACAAAACTAATCGGTTCTAAGAAAACACTGATTTCATACATTATTCGTAAAATTCTTAACGAAAGGTGTTGTGAGATTAATAATAACCACTTGTAGGCAGTAAATTTTGATGCACCCACTGTAGGACATCAGTGATACTTAAACAGACACACAGGCAGACAAATCAACCTAGAAACTTGGCACGGTACACCAATTCAAACGTTTACACTTCACAGCAGCATAAAAAGAAGAAGTGGATAGAAAAAGAGTGATACAAAAGCTTACAAGAGTGTCCAACGTAGGAAAGAAGTTGATGAATATTGTTGAAAGTCTGAAGAAGTTCGATAATGATAAAGGTTACATACATCTGCACCGTTGTGATTATGTGCCACACAAAAAGATTCTCTTACCAATGATTCTTATCGTCTTGTACATCTTAGCTAAGTAGCTTAAAATTTCCATCACAGGTGAGACCAACAATATGAAACTTCGTGACCCCCAACCCAATCCTCTTTCAGTCAATACCGATCGTAGGGTTGGGTGATAACTTGCATGTGCAACACAAATCGCAGCCATCCCAATCTATAAAGAGGCATAAATTCATCGACTGACTTCCCTACCTTGCTTGGTTCCCTTCACGTTGTCTGAAGATTGCTTACATGATGATTTCATTATGCGTCAGCAAGACTATAACACAGATTACGATAAATGAACCATTATCTCTTCAGAAAAAAAATAAGATTGAATGCATTAACCCCAACAGTTACAAACTATCAGAGTATGTAGGCTCTTATTTCTAATAGTTTCGGGTAACACTATTGTTAACTAAGTGATTCATACTACTTTTAAATATTTAGCTGTTAAGATTGCCGTCACTAGATTTTGTTCGTGCAGATATTTCTCAACGTTTGTCGCTGTGATGCTTTAAGGAGGAATACTGCGATAACTTCAACATAACTAGTCATTATCAAGGAGATTTATCAGGAATCAGACTATAGATTAAAAGCTGAAGGCATGAAAATCTTTCTTAGCCGGTACAACAATAATAATACTTAAGATAGAAGGAATGATCACATTTCTATCTTCAAACATAAAAACGAATGAAGTCGTATAGTTTTTTAAGCTACAGTTGATGGCTGCTTTTCATCTAATGCAGGGATGAGATATCTCTGCTTATTTGAATCTCGTATGTAAGTGTAAATGCTGACAATTGACGGTATGTGCTGATTTCCACCCAACAGTGTTACTTTACCACTCGTCTTATGTCTGCTAAACACCAGGACAGTGATAGTGATGTTACACAGACAAAATTTCATAGACTGAAATAGTGTTAAAAGTATTCTATGGTTCAGATATATGATACACGGAAAATTAAGACATGGAAGTTCTAATCCATAGAAATACTGTACACTTTGACCATTCTAATATAATTATTGCATAATCTTATTAAATGCGATGTTAGTTTTCCCTTTTTTTCACCTAAGCTTGAACAGCTTAAAAAGTTGACTCTTTGTGTTATCGTTGTCAGTCTTTTTCACCAAATTTTTATTTTCGTTTAAAACTGTTTGCAAAGATGACAATATGTAAAATGAGGAATTGTAAGAGATAATCAATTGTTTTGGGAACTGACAGCGTATATTGATTATATTGAGGAGAGAGATAGGCAACTGTAAGTTACTACTGTATATTAATATACTCCTCGTGAATTGGTTTGAAGTGGTCACTGATGCACTGCCCTCATTTGTAGATTTTTAATTGTGATCTGTTGTTCTGTATTTCACTTCTGGCAAGTCTTGAGTTTTTCGTCAACACTTGAAGTTCAGCAGTAAGATTTTCCAGTTTGATACACTTGAAATCTTCACTTACCCACCTACTCACTCAATAACGAGCAGGCTGTAAGAGTACTACAGATTCGGTGTATTTTACTGCATTTTTAACTGAACTCAGGTTAATTTGGCCTCGACTTCAATTTAAGACAGCCACCAACATGCTTAAAATCCTAGCAACTGGCTGGTTATAAACAGCATCAACAGCAGTAATGTAAGACAAGATGAGTAAGGAGATTTACTTTTGTTAGCAGCGTAGATGTAGGGTGAAGAGTTGGTAAGGTTATGAACCTACACCGACTCAGTAGGCTGGAAAATGAGTTACGTATGCGTAGTCACCGTTTGTACCATCGCACAACGTTAGCTGAATGGATTTCGGACTGAAAAGACGTGAGTAGCGCTCACACTAAGAAATATTTCCGTCTCATGAAATCTTTAACTGTTTATCTGAGCGGTGAAGGGAAACATAAACTTACCAGTTGAAGTTGCTGGAGACTGGATCATATGGGTCGGAGTCGATCCCACTGACACACACGCATTCACATATTACTTTCATTGTAATCATCATACTGAATTTCATGTTTGTCTCACTCCCAATTCTTCTATTTTCACAACTTCCCATCGGTCTTGACTTCTTTTTATTTCGTTATCTTTCACTGTAATGCATTTTCACGGGTTTTGGTGAAATCGTTTATGGTAACTTGGAGCTCTATTCAGGAATACCGAGTCACACGATTATGACAACCCTTCTTTACAGATTTAAGGTAGGTGGAAGATGAGTTAAAATCAGTTTATAGCTACAAGCTGGGTCTCTTTGTTCAAAAATGGCCACCGACAACGTATGTCTTTTACCTACAGAATGTAAAACGGTGGTATTGGTGTTATTGGACCCCATTTCTAACAAAGCTCCGCCAACTAATTAACAGTAACAGTTATCAATCAACCCATGACACGTGATCTTGGCATGCAAACTTAGTAATTGGTTGAACAGTGGTTTTGGGTTTTAAGTGGGTTCTAAATGATGGGTTGTAACAACGATTGCTTCTTCTAAAAAGACGTTTGTGAATAGCAGTGGTGTCACAGGCAACTGTAAGTGCGTGGGATACATCAGTTTGATTTGTCTTTACCTTAGACTTAAAAATATTCTGCAAACCATGAATGGGTTATATCCTACTAACTAATTCCAGCTTCTTAACCAGCCATATTGTAACAAGAAAAATTGATTGAAGCAATTATGAGTAAGAGCTGTACACTAAACTTGTGAAATTTTCCTTTCCTTATTTGATTAGGAGAGGTGAATCATGTACGTTCAGATTACCCTACGTTATTAACTCAGTCACTATCATTTTTGGCAGCTCTTATAGCTGCCTGATCATGTGGTTTTGTATTGTCATCGCTGTACTGTTATTTAACTTTACAATTTTAAATTGAGACGACTAACCAGATATTGAAATATATTTTCTATATGTAATGAGATTTGTACATCAATAAAACTCCTAAATGCTAGTCTGGTCTTATGGACACTATGCTGCTATCGTTTCGCAGGTATGATAAGTTATTAGAACGTTATGCATTATAGGTTGCACAGACTTTGCGCTACGTTAGTGATTTGTAGTATTGATTGAGACTAACCTCTTTTATTCCCAGTTATCAGTTTTGGTGAAAGACCTGTAGTCACAGGCGGTTTGCCTGAGTTTCTGTATAAGGTCCGGAAGTCAATTATTAAAAAGACATGAGATAGGAATCTAAGCCGTGAGGTTCCACCTAAATATTTGTACATTTGTGCATCGAATAAATTAAAAAGATATTTCTCTGAAATCTCTAAAGGATTCATGCAAGCCATCTTTACGTTATGGTCAATATAAGGTCGTAGACTTTATTTTAGATTAACTGTACAACTTGTCAGTAGCCGAAAATTTGTATTTGACATTGTTGGTCTTTTCTGATAATTTTTGAAAAAGGTTGTTGGTTATCAGCGGATCAAAGATGATTTCGGTGGATAGCTCTACTTGCGATATGGTGATTTCGAGAACATTTCTGGAGGAGAAACGCAGTTCAACATATCGAGGAGAATTAAGAAAAGTGATGCTTGTAACATCTTGGTTTTGGGTCGACCACACAAATGCCATCACCGTAGAGGCACCCGTCTAGACGCACCATCCTGGTTATAAAAATTCCAAACGAATCTTCAGTCTTCCTGAAAACTATTTAATAGTCATCAATAGGAATAGCTTTTTTATCATTCTGAAAGTCTAATACAGTTTGTAGGATTTGTAGATATTTATTGATAGATCGTGGCTAGCAGCGGAATCCAGGATGCGCACTTTGTCCTATTTGGGACTCGTCAGTTGGATAAACCTGCTTCCCAGTGAGCGATATGTTCCCAGCGGGATTCGGACTCGGTGGTGATCGCTCCAAACGCCAGCGCGTTATCCACTACACCACCGAGCTACGATAGCTACTTCTTGTGCGACGGGTATAGTTTTAGTATAATTGCTTTTATATCACAGAGCCCTTTGCAACATAACATAGTCCTTTTTCTTAGCACATCGGAAAGGGTTAATGTGGAACAATGAAAGAGAATAGGTCAAGCACAGGAATCAGTAGATAAAAGTCGACACAGTTATACCAGAGAGTCTCAGCTTTGTTACGTAATACGTTAAATGAAAACTTTTCTTTGAAGTAAATTAAATATAGAGGAAGAAATAATCATTTCATGAAACAGAATTCACCACCAAAGATTTTAAAATGTGTATTCCAATCAGAGATATAAACACCAAGTTATCAGCTCTGTTAATCAGAAATGAATTAATCATAAGTAAAGCTCTTATTAGTATACAATGACCAACTGGTTCATTATCTTCGTACAGATTTAGGTTTTTTTCGTAATGAACTAACATAACCAACGTTTCATGGTTGCCTTGTGTTATGAACTTAGTTTGCATTATGATTTATACTGTATGATCTGCTATTATTAGCTACTAGAATGTAGCCAAATACAGATGAAAGTGACAAACATGGCAATTCTACATTTTTGTGGAAAGAATTCTAGGAAAAATGAACTTGTTAAAAATTGCTTAAAAAGATTTCTTTTGAATACGAATATGTAATGCTATAATTTCTTGTTGGCCTAATGGATAAATTAAAAGGCTTACTTGTCTAATCACTTCGTTAAACACGCCCCATGATTGGTTGAATTCAGTATAATTCCGTTGATTTTTTTCATTGGTAGTTCTGTAGATAATAAACAAACAGGGAGAAAGTTAATATTGCTTGAATATGAATGAATTTTGAAATCTGCTCACATAAACATGTGAGATACTGGAGGTAGTTGAATAATATTGTGCCAAGCAACATACTGCCATGATCATCGTCACAAGATCATAACTATACAATTCATCTTTTCTCAGAATCTCGCTGAAATTTCTACGACAGGGTTGTTTATTGATTACTATAGTACCTCATGAAGTTTAGCTTACAAATGAATAAGTGAATCAGTTTTACAAAGTGTAACTCATTGCTTTCATTTTCTTATATTTTACATAAAACAGTAAATCACCTCCATGTTGATTCATAATGGTAAAATGTGTAAATAACAATTTGTTTTCTATAGTTTTCTTTAGTGTTCTAGCCTTCTCAAGGATTTGTAGTTAGATCGTTAACTCTATACTGTCTTTCAAGATATTATCGTAAGCATTAACTTCAGAAGAAATTTTCTTAATGTTTATAAAGGTAATTACGAAGATTTAAGACCTGTTTTCAACAGTTTTATTCCACTTGCTACTTTTACGAATGAGTGACAGAATTCTTGAAACATGCTGAACAAATCTTTATTCTTTTAGGGATGTATGGGTGAAAGTTTATTGTTCGGTAATTGCATGCAATTACACGTAATTAAGAAATGGGGTTGACTGAAACAGAAGTTTCTAGACCTCTAAAAGTATAGAAAGATAAATGATTTGAACCACAAAAATCGGTTTTCAAATTTCTGTCACCAGCTTAATATGACTGTACAACAGATAGTGTCTCAAAAGTTATCCTGGAAAAATTGGCTTTTCGCACATAAATCTATATTGTCTTGGATAAATAACGGACTTCAGGATTTATTTTCCAAAAACGTATTCTCCTAGAACCAAATAAATTTAATGACATTCGTGTAAGTGAATGAATCATTCATGGTCTCGCTTTGTAATTCTTTTTCGGATGAAAAATTAGATGTTTAACTTATTATTTCATTCTTTGCAAGAAATAACGAAATGTAACTCAAGGTATTTGATAAACTCCCATTGTACATAAACGACATATTTAACAGAACAATCTGAACATATTTCAATCTACCGGATTCTTTTCATCGGTTTATAATCCAGACAACATCGAAATGCATGGACTACACGAAAAGAGTTTGCAAACTTGCTTTACTTAGTTTATAAGAAATTATCCATGAAAATAGGCGATACAGATTCAGATAGATTAGAACCAGTTGAGACTGGAGAGAAACGTATATCAGTTGATTAGATAAGCTGACTGCTTAACAAATAGTTTCTGAAAATTCCTGAAACAGGTTATGGGGTGATTTGAAAGAACAGTTCACTGCAAATGGATAATCAACATTTTTGTTTAACGTATATATGAAAATTAAGCGAATATGTATCAGTTCAGAGTAAGATTAACAGTATTCGGATAGTAAAATTTTCGTTTGGAAGGAAACGGCAGAGATAAGATGCAAAAAGAGGTGAGCAGAATGGTGAAATGATAATGATTATCCTATAGAAGTAAAGGTTAGGTTGTCATTTCTTCTGATGATTTGTACTGAAAAAACCAATAAGTTTGAGCTTTTCATTTGTTAATCACTCCAAATGATATAGGAGTGCGAACATGTCAAATTTTCAGCCGATGAAAAGAGATCCTTGTGTGAACAGTTTTCAGTCATGTTTGCAGGTAATAGATAGCAAAAGTATCAAATTTGGAATTTGTTTCTATCAGGAAGAGAAAATAAATTCACTAAAACATTTTAGGTTCATGAACTAAGTCTTGAGGAGCAACTGATATTTGAGTGCATACGATGCTTGCTTGCCTAAACTGAAGTAATTAAAGTAGGATTCAATCCCCTGATTCACTGGTTGAATACCTCATGCCTAAACTAGTGTATCCTTATATCAACTCTAATATTGCTTCATTTTTGAACACGACAAAACTTATTCGCTTCCATCAACTTGGGTATGAATGGGCTATAACTGGCACCACTGACCTGTGCTGACATTGGCAGAGCTCATTTGGTACAGGATATGTAAAATAATTATGAATTCAAGGTCCTGTTCCTAGTCCACTTACCAGAAACGTTTTGCTCATACCTCTTGACAAGTATATGGTTTGCAAGGTCAGGCAGTTTAGCTTTTCTGTTCTATTCCTTTCAACCATCCAATATGACCTACAGTACATCGCTGTGGTATTAGACTTTACCCATCGGTATGAAAAGAACTGAATGGATAGTTTTTTCATCATAACTTGTAAACAGGCATTGGGATAGTGCTTATGCAACAGTATATGTAATAAGTGTAGTCAACAAGAAGAATTAATGATCCACCAAAGTATCCACATTTACTAGCAACTATCATTTATAATTAAAACTGAACTTTTTCTGTTCATTTACCTACTGGAAATAGTATTCCACTAAAACAAAATAATAGCTTCTAAAATTTCATTTATTCAAGAACATATTCAGTAGTTGTTACTTGATTGAAGGTAATCGACAGGAGGCATTAGACCTAGGCTTCGGTCATGTTGGCAATCGTCGTCATGGAGTTTCTGTAACTTAGAAGGACTTTATATCCTCCCTGAGAAGCGGAACCAATGTCACCCTGTGGTTCAGTCAATGATGTTAGCATTAACCTAACTGAACTGTTATTGACCTCCTGCATAGCAGCATCAGATACGTTGACTGATCTTTGGAGAGCAACCAATTTAATATTGTCTGGTCCGAAGTACTGACTTGATACTACCGACCATATTTAATAACTATGAATGGTTGGTAGGTTGTAACATTCTTAGATATGCACCTGAACTTAGAATATCAAGTTCTCTGTTTAGAACAACCCAAATGAATCCAGTTGCTAGTGGTAAAGCTTTCTATGAGTGGAAAAAACTTGAAAGTTAATATCCAATTATCCCAAAAGATGATATCATCAATAATAAAACGTATATATTAGTATGAAACAAGTCAGCAGAAAGCTTCATCGCTAACTGGTAGTGCCTGAGTAAATTCAGAAGACTCATAAAGGATCAGAACATCATCATCACAAGGCCCGATGAATGCAGCTGGAGTCGTAATTATGGACAGAGTTGACTATGTACAGAAAATGAATTTAATATTGCAGGATGAAAGCAAATTTCAGAAACTACAGCCGACGAAAGATCTAACCGAAAAAGCAGAAAAGGATCTAATTGTCTCACTAGAGAAAGTGAAAGATGACGAATAACTTTCAACAACCTTATTTAGAAATTTGAAGCCCATAGGCAATACAATTCCATGCATGTATAGTTTGTCAAAAATACACAAACCGGAGGTGCCTCCTCACCCTATCCCAGACATTACCAACTGGCCTTACCAGGCTATCGCTAAGTGACCACCACGACTACTTCAACCTTTACGTGACCAATTAGCAAAATATAGCGTGAAGGATACCTTCGAGTTCGTAGACAAAATAAGAAACTTGAATGTTTTAGACAAATGGATGGAGTCCCTAAGTGTCACATCTTTGTTTACTAATGTCCCTCTAATGGAAATTGTCGATTATATTTGTGAACAATTATTGGGAATAAAATTAGACATGGGCATTCCGATTATGAATTTGATAGAACTATTGCTAAGATATAAATTGAATGTCCAGTTCAGCTTTAACAGTAAACTGTAGAGACAAGTCGACGGAGTGGTTACGAAGTCTCCATTGGGCCTAATATTTGCAGACATATTTTTAGCAAAGTTGGAAAATGGTCTTTTGAAAGATCAAATTACTAATATGGAGTTGTACTATTAATACATGTATGATACTTTTTTAGTCTTTGATAATTGCATATGTAATAACTCCATTCTGAACCATTTCAACTATGCTTATCCATCAATTCATTTTACACATGAAAATCAAACCAATGATTCGATACATTTTCCTGATGTCTTAATGACAAGAAACAACGATTGACCTATACTGAGAAGCATTTATAGAAAACTAACGTCTGAGGCACAGTATACGCACCTTTTCAGCTTCCTATCGATGAAGTACAAACGTAATATAATCCAGTGCCTGGCTTTTAGAGTAAGATCGATTTGTTCTAGGAAGTGTGTGGAAAAAGAACTACTGTGTATCCGTGATATTCTAAGTGACAACGGATATCGAGACAATTTCATCAAAACTAGCATCAACTACAATACTCCTAAACAACAGTTGATGACAAAGGAGAAGAAGCCTTTGTTTCTGCACTTAAAATTCAAGGTGACATTCTATCACAACGCCTAGCTACAGCAGTCAACAGGACATTTCATGCAGGTCGGGGTTGTATATCATTCAGCAGTCAGCCAATGCTCAGTCCCAGACTAAGTGACAGCTTATCTAATCTTACCTCATCATTTTGCACATATCAGTCTAACTGTTCCTGTGGAACTAAATACATAGGGTGTACGATTAAGCAGGTATGTCTTCGAATACGAGAGCATTTACCAGCTTGGTTCGGAAAGAGTTCAGTAAAAGTGGTGAAATGTTCAGCTCTAGCTCATCTAGTTAACACAAGGCATCACGCAGATGCAAATGAAGCTTCCAGTGTCATTCATCGTGTTTCAAAACGACGCCATGTGTAGCTCGCCAAGGCCTGCTTAACATAGTGGAGACTGTCGCAATAAGATTGATAGAGCCTGAACTCCGCATTCATAAAGAACATGTCCAAACGTTACTTCTCCTCTGGCCTTCAGCTATCTAAAGGGCATTCCTGTCATCTGATTCGTTATCTTTTTGTTCACCATCATATCATTCTTCTTCACATGTATCATCCCAATATTGACTAATTAAAAAAATATAAATCAATTTCCCTACAATCCCTAAATCTTAGTCCATTTCAGAAATGCACTTGCCTATAATATGGCTTGTTTTTACGCTGTACAAATTCAATTTATAATTGTAGAAACTGTAGAGAATTTATTGAAAAGAATATTCTTTGTTCAGCTTGTTGATTTTTATCAATTCACT